TGAATCGGAATAACAGCCCCCAAGTAAGGTTTCACTGGAAAAAGTGACATATTATTCACATAGAGATAGATTTTACGTTATTTTGTTTAGAGAAAAAATAATAAAGTTGTGAATTTAGAGACTTGTTATAAACAAAGTCATTTCTTATCCAACAGATATTTAAGTTATCACAGTATCACTTCAATCTCACAGTCGAATCCGTGTATAACATATATCAAGTATAACCTTGGTTGCTTACGAAGGCATTTTCGTAAGCGATACTTTTAAAACGACTCTGACACACGAGTGAATATTGGCTTAAAGAAAAGTTAAGCACGACTCAGTTCACTCGTCAATTAAAATCGACATATTAGAAAATAACGTGTTTTTTTTTTTAGAACGCCATAAAATTCAAATCTTAGCGACATCATTTAAGAAAGCGTTATCAGAGAAGTATCTCGCTTTATACACACGGTCCTTTTGTTTGAAAACTGTCAGTGAGTATCTGCGGATATCAGAGAGACACTATCAGCACGGCGACTGTATAATTCTATAATGTATTTACAATTATCCTTATGGTGTGTGTGTGTGATCATCAAAGATTTTCTTGAACGGGTTAACTTTCTTAAGTATAAGTTCGAGTCTTCCTCAAAGTAAAAAAAAATCTGATGCCACGAACTGTTGGTGCTTCTAAAACATCTGTAGCATATTTGCTATATAAATATCTCATTGAAAGAATAGCTAATTGGTTGGAAGATGACAAGTTAACGTTCGCTTCCAGTGGATGCTGATATCACAAACTAGGTAGTTGTTGGTAGATGACAAGTTAACGTTCGCTTCCGGCTAATGCTGATATCACAAACTAGGTAGTTGTTGGTAGATGACAGGTTAACGTTCGCTTCCAGCGGATGATGATATCACAAACTAAGTAGTTGCTGGTAGATGACCAGTTAATGTTCACTTCCAGTGGATGCTGATATCGGAAGCTAGGTAGTTGTTGGCGATCGTAATAGTTGGTAGTTGGATTGGTTCAAATTGGATGATTCTGTGTTGTTGGTTTGGTTGTTTTGGTTTGAGTCGAATGACATGACAGTGAAACTCTGGATGGTGTGGCGTGAGTTACTCGATCTCCTTTATTCTTTCAAACTCGTTCTTGTTGATTGGGTCGAATGGTAATCGTTGGTTTGGTTTGGCTTGGTTTGGTTTGGTTATCTGATAAACTAGAAGACCTGAAAAAAGTACCCTGTAAAACCCTATATTTCAACCAATTTTATAAAAGATTGCGCCCAAATGAAGTCGCCATTATCAAGGTGAAAGTGTGATAATGCTTATCCGGTTTGAATTCTTTTTATGTTATTATTTTGTCTAATTCTTTCACAGTGATTAATAGATATTCATCAAAGCAGTAACCTTACTCTGTTGAAGGTTAAATTTAATCGGGCATTCCCCTTTTTATGTAGGTGGAAAAAATTGTTGCTCAAATTTGTGAAAAGTATAACAAATCAAGAGAAAAGTGCATTTGAAAGTTTTAACTAAAAAATCCAGCCGTTAGTTTTGTAGAACTATTTAAAAATATAACGTAAGTTCGTTATGATTTTTGGAATTTTTTAGCAAAGCCAATAAGTAATGGTGTTCACAGTTAACTGTCGAAATTTTAGCCTTAAAATACATGTGTTTCCGGAATAATGCGTGTTTGAGGCACTGCAATATATAGAAAAGACATTATAGAAATAGGATATGAAATTCATTGTATTTTTCTGGAAGTAGAACGAAAAACTCTATTCATCTCATTTCATTTTGTATTTTTGTGAAGCAATTATGCAATTTTCGTACATTTATAGTACTTCTGAGGACTATTTACATATATATTTATTAGAATATCACTACTAATGACTAATTAATTTTCACATAATTGATAAGCTTATCTATTGCCCTGTGACGTAGGCCAGTAATTTCGTTGAGATTCGTCTCAATATACCCTAACACAATGACTAAATAAATATGGCCAGTAGAAATTATTTCTCTCTAAATTCCATAGCACGCGGTACAAACTCGTCATGCGGTGTATCAAGGTCTCAATTTCATTTTTCTCCAGCAATTGTCCAATAAACGACATTTTAAGTAAGGTATAATTCACCTTATTGACAAGTCATACAAATTATCTTCGAATTATCCCAGAATGGCTCGTAAATTCTATTTTTCTCTTTTAATCCGAATCTCCAGACTGCTACAGTTAAATTAAAGGCGGAGAATGATCTATTTTTATTGACTTGAGAAGAAGAATACCATTTACAAAACGACTTCTGTTCACGGCTATTATAGTTAAGTGTAATGTTTATGAAGCTGGTAATCTGTCTAACGCCGTAAATATCCCGAAACGGTTGTTGGAGTCCCGTCACACCGGATTGCGATCTTACGGCGACCAAAAAGGCACGTAGACACCGGAAAACGTGAAGAAAATATGAGAAAAGGTCCCACATAATTGCAAATTGTCTTTAAGTCGCATTAAAACTGCTTTGTATGCGACCATATTGCGTTCCCAGGGCACTGTTCTAATAAAATGTAATTTAAGCTGCGTTTAGACAGCCACAAATCATCTTCGTTCGCGTTCGCAACAAATCATCTTCGTTCGCGTTCGCGTTTGAATTAGTTCTGGCATACAAGTGTTTCAACCAGGCGTTGGCGTCAGCGTCGTATCTAGCTTCGGACGCAGCTAACGCCCTTGCACCCAATTTCAAATCACGACGCCATTTGAACCATATTTGGAATGTGAGGTCATCAATGTCATCACCCAAGGTCGTCTTCATCAAAACACGTGGTAGTATATGTCGATTTCAGCTGAAAAATGAGCGATTCAGGCACAGGCAAGCTGATGTAAATGAAATGAACAGTTTTACGTCCTACTTGTCTGCACCATGTATGCTAATGAAAGCTTATAGAAGCTGTACAGAGGCGGCCTGTACTGTACGATAAATCTACACGTGACTACAGCGACAGAGACGTGAAAGAAAACCTCTGGGAATCCATAAAGCAGAAGCTTCAAAAACGCTTGGTAGAAACACTCGAACGTGGATTTGACCGCAGACGGGAACGCTGACGCCGACGCCAACACATAAGTTTGGAGGAAACACGACGCTTATAGCCACGTTGAAAATAAAATTTTCATCAATAATAATCTATTTAAATATACTTATAAATAAGGCAAAAAATACCAGGAACTGCAAAAAAGAAATTTATGATTTTAATGAAATTAGGATATCGCTATCACCAACGCCAACGGAGACAGTTGTCAATCTACCAATAAGATGCTATCAGAAGCAGATTATAAACAAAACTACCATTATCGCATTAACAATTTGGTTAGAGATCGGTCATCCACCAATCAGTGGCGGCGCCGCCAGTGGGGGGGTACAGGGAGGCATTTGGTTTGCACCCCTAATATTGTACCCCACGTTCTTTTCAACGAATTTGAAATTTGATATTAACCGTTTTTGTCTTAAAGGAGCACCTTCACTACCCGTTCGACCAATCATACCTTAGTTTCAGAACCAGAAATTATTTTAGCTTACATAAGCACTAATAGTGTTCACAGCTCATTGTCGAAATTTGAACCTTTAAATCCATGTGTATCCATAATTATTCACGTTTGGAAGTTAAAAATTCGACTCGAATTTAGTGAGACTATGTCATATATAGAAAACACATAATAAGAATAGAGAAAATTTCTTGGGGAGAACCTTCTCAGGCGCTAAATGAGAAACCGGCGACTATGACATCTCGACAGAGTTACTACATTTTGAAATCAGCCTCGACAGATGTCCCGCCCTCTACTCAGCTTGTACCCTATGTCCCGGGAGGCTGGCGCCGCCACTGTGACCAGTCTAATAGGCACCAAGAGATCCGAGGAGACCATTTATCAATAGTTATCAGAAATGAGTATTTTGTTCTACATGTCATTCAATTCATTCTCGGACCAATATCCGTCATTGCATCGCTCTTGGTCCATAAAGTCATTCCTTTAAAGATGGTTTTCCTTATTTTTTAGTGTCAGATTAAAAAAACTATTTGATTAAGTGGTTTTCTAATGAATTATCATGTATTCTTAATCATCTCATTATGTTCTTATTACATATGATTAAGAGTTCTAATTATGAATTATGGACATGTGAGACAAACTGGTATTTTTCCTCTAGAACAACTCTACTTTATATTCATATAATTATTAGCATTTTCATTTTCATAAATGTAAATAAGGGAACCCATCTTTAATAAACATCTCATAAAAATGTTTGGCTAGGAGCTGAGAATACCCAATTGGTAAAAAGTACCCAATAGGCTTACCATTCCGTATTTTGTCTTCCCCTATTCCCTTGGGACTACCTATGAAGATTGCTTTAACCTAACGACCTTACTGAGCACTAAAACAACGTCATTAAAGGAAGGGGTCTTCTAAAAAAAATTATGTGTATCTTGGACACTGATTTCACCAATTATCACCATTCTAATTTCCAGTCAGACGTCTGTGGTTCTTGCAATTCACTAAAACTTCCACTAAAACTAAGTGTTTGATGACGTTACTAATCGCGAAAGGCCTTATATGGTATAGTTTGCGATAAGTGACGTCATCAAACACTTAGGGCCGTATGCAGCTCTCATACCTTGATTTTAATTTTCTACATTTTTGATAGTAAAATTTAAGCACGACCGGTGCATACCTAAAGTTCGACTTAAGTCTAATTTTAGTCAAAGTTTAGGTAAAGTACGAGCGCTGCATATGGCCCTAAGTGTAAATGGAATTGCAGGAACCATAGACGTCTGATTATATTTAGAATGGTACTAATTGTTGTTATCATTAGTGTCCCAGTTACACATAATAATTTTAGAAAACCACTTTACAATTCCTTTAATGACGTTTTAGTACTACGTAGGTTAAAGCAATCCTTATAGGTAGTCCCAGAGAAATAGGGGAAGGCAATCCCTTTAATATGGGACGCCACCGCTTTAAAATAAAAAATCTTGATACATTTTGAAACATTATATTTTTCTCAAACAATTAAACATATGTTTTTAAATAATACATACAAACTTGACAATTATATACATCTTATACTACCGCTTTGTATGACCAAAAAAAAGTCTTTGTTCATCAGTGGACTTACCTGTAATTTTGAAACATGCTTAGAATCTGTTATCAATAATTATTTAGTTTTATAGATATCATCATTACACGTGGTAAGTTCAACTGATGAATATATACACTTATTGGCCAAGTTTGAGATTTTCAATTTCATGTCCATTCTAAGAGGTAGTATGCCTTTAAAATCTCATGTCCTAGAAGGAAAAGCTGTAATACTGTAGGCTACATATATGCTTTTCACAGGGATCTACAATTTGGGTATATCATTCGGTTGTACTTTAAAATTCATTGGCGTGTTGATCATTCGGCGTTCATTTTCAGAATCCAATGCTTGGTGGTAGAAGCCATAATAGTCTCCTCGTGAGTTCCGGACAGCTGGTGTTGGGTTGTTGTTTTGGTACCATGCTCTCTGAGAAGCTGTATCGCCAGGCATACTGGGAAGATTTCTTGTGTATCCAAACAATCTTAATTCTGGTCGACCAGATGGATGTAGACCGACATCTTTATGGAAATATCCTGCATGCAAGAATAAAATGTAATGGTAAAATATACGCCTATTGAACTGAAAATATGAATTGGCACAACGAAAATAATGAAAATAATGAAGTTCTTCATAAAATGTCTAGCATTATGCAGAATCGATATGGGATTATATGGTTTACTTTTATCGTCTATTTTATGAGACAATAAACCGAGAAATCAGTGTCCAAGATACACATAATTTTTTTTAGAAGACCCCTTCCTTTAATGACGTTGTTTTAGTGCTCAGTAAGGTCGTTAGGTTAAACCCTCGACAGTTGGACATCAAAAAGTAGCAGGCTTATGCTGCTGTCCCTCCTTACACCCTATCCTGTATGGCGTTGTCAGTCTTCATTAGCCCACATGGTGCAAAGAGTAGGATTTCATTCTTTTATCGTCTATTCTAGTGTTACTAAAAAACTTGAAGACATTTCGGGATGTAAGTGCACAAAGAATTTAATGAAATATTCCATGGGAGATAACTCGCTTTAAGCTTGTTCAAATAAATCGTCTACTATGGGACCCGCTCTAGTAATTAATTTAATGAATGGTTTTAACATGGCTATTTTTCACTAACATTTGGTCTAAATTTGGAATTTGATGTCTGAAATTGCATTTCCTTTCAGATTTTGTGAGGTGGTCATGATATATTGAACTTTGTCTAAAAACTAAGCATTGGCCATGCTTTCATGTGACATATTGGAAAGTTTTCAACGAGATTGCTGGAAAAAGTTATAGGAGGTTGAATTTTGAGATTGAACAGGGAAACTTCAAATGAGTGTGTCCAAATGAATCGTCTGCTAGTACTAAAAAATGTTAGTTATGTTGTAGCCTTCAATTCGAACAAATATAACGAATATTTCACGAATAAAATGTTAAAATCGTTGTTTTTGGCAATCAATCAGTCGCTGCTTTCAACTTTTACCTACCTCCGGGCGTGTCTCGATTTCTAGAATAATATACCCATTCGTGTTCACTCTGGAAGTCTATGGCATCTCGCCTAGCCTCTCTGGGTAGTGAGCGATAGTCCGGGTGGTCAATCCACCGTCTTTCAGATGGAACGTAATGTGCTGGAGCTGTCCATACAGTTGATTTCCAATCTCCACAAAAATAGTTGTTAGACGGCGTAGAATAGTGTGGTTTGGGCAGTTCGTATTTATAGGCATCCATATTCTATCAATGAAAAAAGGAAAATAGTTTTATGTAAGCTTATATCCGGGACACAATTTGCAACATTCCAACTTCCAATCAGACGTCTGTGGTTCTCGCATTTCCAGTCATGCTAGGCGTTTTATGACGTCACGCAAAGATCCTTTATATCAACATCAGGTTTTGCTTCATAAAAAATGCTTAGATTTGGTAGAATTGCAGGATTCAAGACATCAGACGTCTGACTGATAATTGGAATAGTACAAATAGTGCTATCAGTGTCCCCGATACAAAAGGAAAGTTTGTAGAACCTTTTTATAATTCCTTTAACGCATGGATTTTTCCATAGAAGAGAGCTTGGCTATGTGATTGTAGTGCTAATCTCTAAATTATGAACACCTGACAATTGCAGATGATTTATTAGATACAAAAAAAAACAAACAATTCTATTACTACAACTAAACGCCATAACACCATTGCCCCTACGGATATCTTACTTGCCCCAAGTCAATCAAGTTCGACTACGGGCCTGATCAGAGCATAATCAGAAGACCTAATGGAACTTGGCGTCCGGTGACTGGGACTGTCAAGCAGCCTACCTGTAGCTAATATTGTTTATTGTTTATTTCAATAAGAGTAAATAAAGATTGACCTACCGTTCACACCTTATTATAGCAGGGCCAATAACAATAATGAATCTATTATATTGTCGTCATACAAAGAGGGAGCTACGAACACAGATAGTTTACACGTTGCTAGGCTATATATATTATTCAATAAGTAACAGTTGACGTCCTATAGTCTATACAGGTGTATCGAATACCGTGATAAGGCTATAAATAATCAAAACCAATATGTCGGCCTCTACAAGTAGGTACATATTTTTCGGGCAATGCCTCAACTAGATGTGAGGGGCGCCGTTTAGACTACTAAAGTGGTTTGTGGCCCTTCCCTCGGGAATTTTGTTTTAATGCTCTCTTGCATTCTGAGACCTCTCTGTATGTAACTGTAAGTCACTAGCTAAGCGTCTGTTTTTCAGTCTGTAGTTAATGCTATTTCACTATTATATATTGCTGGTTAAAAAAAAAACATTAATTCATTTTAAAGGGAATGTTTCGATATTTTCGGGGGTTGATTTTAGTCTTGAATATATTTAAATAGTCTTCATAAGTATTAGGAATTTACGGAAATTGCATAATTCCTTTGAAAATATCTAATCCTAGAAATTTCGTTTTCTAGGTATGTTATTTCTATATAACAGAGAAATGACGAGTCATCTTTTTAACACGCGTATAATTGATTTGAAGGCTCAAATGTCGGTGATGAGCTGTGCACACTATTACTGATTAGCTTAGCTAACAAAAATCCCCTTTCTGAGACTTAAATACTAAATATTGGTCAAACGCATAGTGAATATGTCCCTTTAAACCAATGGTTCCCACCCTTGGAGCAATCACCTGGACCTTTCACACCCCAAATATTTGTTTCACCCACATTTGCGGCATGTGATGATGTCCGGTGCTCTTTCAATGCAAAATAAATTCTTCTCCTATACCAGTTAGCCACACCCTGACACCCTAGTCCCACAACCCCAGGGGGTGAAAACACTCGAGGTTGGTAACCGGGGCTTTAATCGGATTGTACCATTGTTATTTTCAGGAAATGTAGCATCAAGCCAGGCGAACAGTACATCATTAGACCAATATGTCTGCAACACGGGGTCGCCCTACCAATCACCAGACAATATGGCTTCTTATGTATTTATGGGACCGTCATACTATATTCCCGGTGAACGCAAATGGGTTTCCGTAAACGATTACAAGTCACTACCGCTACAAGTACGACGAGACGCCATTTTGTTTGAATCTGAGGTCGAATGGAGAAAATACAACCAGAGGAACACATATACTCCAGGTAAAACACGATACATCCTTTAAATTATTGCTCCGATAAGGGAAATTGTTCAGGCAACACGTTCAGTAGATCACCGTCAGTGGCGGTGCCAGACTTGAGGTACAAATAAGGGGCAGAATGACTCAATTTGGGGAGAGGGTGGGGGGGGGGGAGTCAATTTACCGTCGAGGCTGAATTGAAATTGCGGCAACCCTGTGGATTTGTCATTGTCGCCAGCCTCTCGCGAAGCATCTTCGCCCTCCCCCCCCCCCTTTTCAGTTCAGCGTTCAGTCCCAAATTTATATTTGATAACCAATGTAATTGAATATGTCTACTAGGTCGATAGCTCCATATCAGCTATCCTTTATAGCTGACAGCTGGCATCCGGTATTCCTGCATTACAACGGTTGATGTTTAAAAACTAGATTTTATATTTATTCGGACAGAAAACTTTTAGAAAAAACACATTTGATTCATATGCTCGTTTGATGCGTGGTAGGCCTAAATATAAAGCTGGGCTACTTCTTGTTTTATTGGCTTCCAGTTGATCTGACTTATTCACAAAAGCCTAATTTCCAAATCTGTTCACTATTCGCTTAATTGGCCCATACTGCCATTTTATTTTTCAGGGTTTTCTACAATTGGTGCCAAATATCCATCAACTTTTACGTCCCTTTCTTTACCACAGCACTATCAGGCATGGAATCGTAGATGGAATGGTTCGGGATATTTCGTACCAACCGAACACGCGTGGATACGAGAGCAAGTCGGACCAAACATCCCTACAGACTCTCTCTTATTTTATAATGAAGAAGATTGGTTGAAATTTAAATATATGAATGAAAACCCTTCCATGCTTACCTCTACTGATAAAAAAATCATTATATAAAATTGTGCTAGAATAAAAATGTATGCTGTTACGTTTCACTTTCGTTTTACAATATAGGTCTTACCAAATAAACTATATTAGCAATGTAGACTCTCTGAATTGGATACTGTCATACTGAGTTGAGAAACCCAATCCGAGAGCATGATCAGGTGTTCTAGAAGAGTACACTAGCTAAGCGACATCCACAGCACGCACCCTATGACCAAAGAAATTGATTTTTTTTACCAAATCGCTCCTTAAAGGGACAGATGCGCCATTTTTTTTTACCAATCATACCTTATAGTCTCAGAAACGATATTGCAATCAGAATTAGTGTTCACAGCTCACCCTTGAAATCTGAGCCTTTAAATCCATGTGTGTCCAGAATTTTCTGCATTTGAAAGTTAAAAAGACGAGTCGTCTATTCTTGAGACACTGCCATATACAGAAAAGGCATTTATGGAAATAGGAAAAGAAATTCTTGGTTTGAGGTATTTTTAAAGAATTATGTGATTTTCGTACATTTCTAGTACTTCTGAAGACTGTTTACATATATTCAAGACTCAAATCAACTCTTGAAAATGGTGAACTGTCCCTTTAAGGTGCAGATTTATAAGAGCCCATCAAATGCTGCCAACAAGTCTTGTCGGCAAAAGTATATCAAGTTTACAATATTTTTCTAAAAAATATTCATTGAGATAGGTCTAAAATTAATCGTTTTTAGTTGTTGTCTGTAGTAGAATGTTCTTACTAGTTACTTCCCTTTACTCTTTACTCTCTAATTTAGAGGAAAGAAAGATATCCAAACATGACTTGCTAAACTTCTCATTTGCATTGTAAAGTTTTGTGTTTAATATTCAAATAACGGAGTAAAATGGTGAGTTTATTACATGGGGTTGTTCTTAAATTAGACAATTCAACTATTAGTCTAAAACTGACGATAGAAACAGATATGCTGCCAAATTGTTGTATTGTTCATCATGACGTTGATGTTTTGTTTGCCACTTTGTGGCATGATTTGTTTTCAACTTTCAAAGAAAGACAATAAGTCAGAATTGTTTCGATATAAGAATATTTTTTTTATAAGAAAACCTGAAATTGAGCTCACCTCCCACACAACAACCCAACAAGCTAAACAATTTAGGACTTTCTGTAGGCCTAGTGTGATTAGACTGTAGATTTTAAAAGGATTGAAAAGAGGTTTTCTCACTTCTTTATATGTGTATCGCGGACACTGATGGCATCGATTTGCACCATTCCAATTTGCAATCATCATCTGTTGTTCCTGCTATTCCACTAAAACTTAAGTGTTTGATGACGTCATTACTCGCAAAGTGCCTTATGTAATAAAGCATATTTTGCTATTGATTAGTAAAGTCATCACTTATTTTTTGTAGAATTGCAGAAACAACAGACGTCTGATTGAACATTGAATGGTGCTGATGCTATCAGTATTCCCAAATACACATCAAAAATTTTAAAAAACGTCTTTATAATCCCTTTGAATAATAATTTTCAATATCATTTCAACTGGTTACTTTAAAATGATAATATAATCCTAATAATGATATGATTACTCTTGTGATTTTCAGAGTATTTTGGCTTACAATGGAGCAGCCATCATAGCTATGAATGGAAAAGATTGTGTAGCTATTGCTGCTGATAGAAGATTTGGGGTTCAAGCTCAAACAGTCAGTATGGATTTCGATAAAATATTTGAGATGGGACCACATCTTTATATTGGCTTACCTGGACTAGCTACTGATGTTCAGACTGTGTAAGTGTTATGTTGCGAGCACACAAACGCTCTTGGTTGACTTTCTGTGGTCGACTTTCAGTAATAAACTCTTTATTTTACATCGGTAAGAATTTGGCCCAATACACAAGGACATGGTCCTGTTTAACATTCAGCCAACATGGGAACAGTATAATGAATGAATGAGAGGATAAAAAAGAATTACACAATGCCTCCCTGGACAACTTGTCTAACAAATAAACAACTACATAATTATATACTAAATGGACGGACTATGTTGCTGTGATCAATTACCACAAAAGATGTACCGGTACAAGCCATCACAATTTATATACAGAAAAATACATATACACAAGTACAAGTGTATTAAATGGACAGATTATGTTGCTGCGATCAAGCACTATTATTATAATATAATCAATATAATGCAGTCGTATATTGGCCTGATTTTAATGAAGTTTTGTGTGATCATTTATATTTATGAGATCTTGGTCAAGATCAAAGTTTAAGATTTTTCGATGAGCAGTTTTTGATTTTGTTGCCCTTAACTTAAGAAAAACGCTTCAAACTTTGTTTGTGAACTACAGTTTTCATCTGTTTTTGATGAAATTTGATGTGATGATTTATAGTGATGAGATCTAAGACAAGTTCGAATTTTATGATTAATTGATGAACAGTTTTTGAGTTATTGCCCTTAACGTAAGAGCTTCAAAATTTGGTTGTGAACACAACAGAAACTACAGTTTTCATCTGATTTTAATGACATCTGGTGTGATCATTTACTACAATGATTTGATGATTATTTGATAAATGGTTTTTGAGTTATTGCCCTTGAAATGGGAAAAAACTGTCAAAATTTGTTTGTGAACACCATAGAGAATACAGTTTTCTTCCGATTTAAATGAAATTTGGTGTGATCATTTATAATGATGAGATCTTGGTCAAGTTGGAATTGACAATTTTTCGATGAATGGTTTTTGAGTTACTGCCCTTGACATAGTTAAAACACGTAAAAAAAATTTGTTTGTGAACACTACAGAGACTACAGTTTTCATCTGATTTTAAGGAAATCTTGTGTGATCATCTATTACAATGAGATATTGGTCAAGTTTGAATTTCATGATTTTTCAATGAATGGAATGTGAGTTATTGCCCTTGACTTAGTAAAAATGCATCAAAATTTGTTGGCTGTACAACTGAAATTTCTTCATTTCCAACTTATTTCTAGATCTATATATCCTGATAATTTTCTTTCCAGTTCCCAGAGATTAAATTTCCGTTTAAAGATGTATGAATTGAGGGAAAACAGAAGAATACGACCCAAAACATTTATGAGTATGGTTTCTAATTTACTCTATGAGAGAAGGTACGTATGTCTTACCAGTCAACGAAACTAAGTATGGTTCTTACATGGAAATAACACGAACGTAGTTCACCACCATTTTGAATCTCTTCCTCGAATTAGTAAGTCAAATTTTTAAAAAGGCTTTAATATTTCAACTAAGTCTTCAAATCACATTTAGGCTTACTTGAAAGAGTATAACATTTATCAAACTTCGACTTATTGAGTATAAGAAGATATTCAAAAATGGTTGTGAACTATGTTCGTTTGTGTTATTTCCATGTAAGAACCATTTGTACTTTAGGGTCCACAGCCGATCATTGAAATTTAAGCCTTCAATTCCAAATGTGTCCAGAATTATCTGTGTTTGAATGTTAAAAAGACATCTTATATAGAAATAGGAACAGAAATTCCTAGTTTGAGATATTTTTGAAGGAATTATTCGATTTCGTACATTTCTAGTACTTCTGAAGGCTATTAACGAATATTTAAGACTCAAATTAACCCAGAAAATCATGAATCTGTAGGAATTTTTGATTCGTCGCCTATATTGTTTGATACTCAAATTTTTGTTGTTGAAGATTTGGACCCTATTTTGTGGAACCAGTCGTAGCAGGATTAGATCCAAAGACTCATCAGCCGTTCATAGCTTCTATGGATTTAATTGGTTGTCCTATGATAACTGATGATTTTGTGGTTAGTGGAACTTGTTCTGAACAGATGTATGGTATGTGTGAATCACTATGGGAACCAAATCTAGTGAGTAGGATTAGTTTTATGTTATCTTAAAGGGGCATTCTTTTTTTTGTAGGTTGTAATTTTTTTTGCCTAAATTGTTGAAAACTTTTAAACAGGCCTTCATATATGGCGCCACTGAAGAGTTGCCTGGTGACAATACTAAAAATGAAAAAAATTATAATGATAAAAAAAAAATGTAGTTCATAAATATAATTTTCAATCAGACATCTGTGGTTCCTGTAATTCAACTTCCCTGGGTGTAAGCTTCATACTTTCAAGACTGTCAGCTTTATACTTTCAAAACTGTCAGCTCTATACTATCAAGGCTGTCAGCTTCATACTTTCAACACTGTCAGCTTTATATTCAATACTGTCATCTATATGCTTTCAAGACTGTCATCTTTATGCTTTCAAGACTGTCAGCTTCATACTTTCAAGACTGTCAGCTTTATACTCTCAACACTGTCAGCTTTATACTTTCAAATCTGTCAGCTTTACACTTTCAACACTGTCAGCTTTATACTTTCAACACTGTCAGCTTTACACCTCATGCTTATTGGATGCATTATATATATAAGATTCAAAAACCATGCATACTTCCTAGAATGTAAATTTAATTTGAGTATAAGATTGATACTTCCTTAAGAATGAGCTTTATATCACTTGTTTTTTTCAGGAGCCTGATGATTTATTTGAAACTATTTCTCAAGCTTTGATGAATGCTTTTGATAGAGATGCTGTTTCTGGTTGGGGTGCTGTTGTATATATAATGTAAGTAGAAATAAAGTAGTTCTTGCTGAAGGGATCTCAAGTCTACATGTTAGACAGGACCATGTCCTTTTGTATTGGGCCTAATTCTGACCAATGTAAAATAAAGAGTTTATTTATTACTATTTATTTATTTATTTATTTTTTTGGACACTCAACAACCTGACGTTTCATATAGATTGAAATATGGGCAAATGCAATATTGTGTTACCGCTTGAAACCTCATATATGCCATATTTGGTCATTTTGAAGTTTTTGTACTGTTTGAAAGCTTGTAAAAGCACAGATCTTGTGATCAAAACTTCTTATTCTTTACTTGATTGTAAACAACACACAAACCACCAATTAAATAACATGTCTAGAACATAATATAATAATGATCCATTTTTTAATATGGGCACTTCAGTTAAGGTCTAAAGACAGTCCACTTGAACTTTCATGAGTTTGATGATACTTCCACCCGCACTGGAGAGGAAAGGAATTTGATTGGTTAAAGCAGACAACATCGAGTCAATGGGTTAATTTGACTAATTTTCAAGAGGGTTGTTGTTAGACCCTTACTTAAGTGACTATATTGAAAATATAGACAACGCCACAAAATGTTAGCACTGGAGAGGATAGAAATTCAATTGGTTAAAGCAGACGTCATCGCGCTGGGTCAAAAGGTTAATTTGACGAATGTTAAAGAGGGTGTCAAGGCTGTTGTTAGATCCTAACTGAAGTGGATATATTAGAAATAAATGTTAATAAAAAAATGAAACGAAAGTTGAATGTATAGCTCTTAATTTATTAATGAAATTTCTTTCTCATTTTTATGCATATTTCTGAATTTTTCAGAGAAAAAGACAAAGTTACCAAGAAATTGTTGAAGACCAGAATGGACTAAATCTACTTTCAATTCACACACATTAACATCATTGTTCATATTATTATCTATAAACATAAAACTATTCCATAGATTCAACTTGTTTGTTTTTCCAATGTAATTTTATCTTCTGTAACATCTGAGGCATTTTTATTTAAAGGGACAGATGCACCATTTTTTTACCAAACATTCTTTAGTCTCAGAAAATATTTAGCTCAGCCAATCAGTAATAATATTCGCAGCTCACAGTCGGAATTTGAGCTTCCAATTCCATATGTGTCGAGAATTATCTGCGATTGAATGTTAAAATGAAGACTCGTCATTTAAGGATTTTCTGTGATACATATACTGAAAATACATGTATAGAAATAGTGAGTAAAATTCCTAGTTTGAAGTATTTTTAAAGGAATTGTGCGATTTCTAGTACTTCTGAAGACTGTTTACATATATTCAAGACTAAAAATGGCCTTCTGTCCCTGTCGTAACAACTCGATTTGATGGTGGATACGTACAAATTTTATTGCCTTAAGTAATTGACCATCGGCATGTTGCATATGTTGAATGTCTTGTGTCGAGTCTGTTTTGTATTGTAGGCAAATTGTTCTAGACGCTTCGCTCATATAAAGTAAACTTTGATGTGTCGATACGATTTGTTATAAAAAGCCTCTGGTTGGCATCAGTTAAATTTAATTTTACGGACGGATCTTTCACCCCCATCTGCAATATTCACTGGAGTTTTTTTCTTTTTGGGGATGAAAATGTAATTTATATGGTCTGCGATTTAAGACTCTCCATATAGTCCTGTCCCAAAAGTAAGTTATCTCCCTTTAAATAGTCATCGCTTACTTCCCCTGATTTCTTCTTCAGTACTTCCGGCGAAGTCGTCTGGTCGAGATTATGGTTGGCTGGAATGGCGACACTCATCGAAGGGTGCAAAATTGACTACTTTGGAGATTAAAAGGACTAGTTAGTTACGAAGTGTTGCACAACCTGTTTCGGGGGGAGGGGGAAATATGAACTGATCGAAAGGGCGAAGGGCCATATCGACCTTCAGAAACTTATCTAAAGTTGTTACATTGTAAAAAGGGGAAAAACAACGCAGTAAAACGTTAAAGCAACACTCGTGTATTGACATTGGGTTGATATTCTTTGGCTTATTCCTTATGAAAACAGAAAAGATATTTGCAACTTTCAACATCAAACGCACGTGAAATCCAAGGGCTTGGGTCAAGGTCATGTGTATGAAGATGGTCATATTCACAGGTTTGTTTTTCTTGATAATCATACGTTTAGAATTATAATCAGTCATTTCTAGATGTATCCGACACCTGCATTTCAATCTGAAAATTCCACTTCTTAGCCTAAATCCCAGCTCCTTAACCCAAATCCAATTTAAACAAGCAATAATATTTTGAAGTGGATTAATAAAACCATACAAAAAGAAATGGTACGGTCCGTACGCATATGTTCATTTCAAAGCACAGGTAAATAATGTACGTTTAGGCCAGTTAAATGTTAAATCCGGCAACTTATTTCATATGTAGCCTTAAAGGCGTGGCTGTGCCAGCCTCCCCGGGATTGAGGGTACAAATAGGGGACAGAATGACAAAATGGGCGGTGTGGGGAGGGGGCACATGTCAAAAAGGAAATTCGGCAACTATGTATTCTGACACTTATTTTCGGCCAAAAATGTATAAAGATAATATTTTTGAATTAAATTGGGGGTACAATTAATGGTGCAAACCATTTTTCCAAATGCAAATGCCCCCCACCACTGTACTCCCACTGACGTCGCCATTGCATGTAAGTCAAAGCATTCATTTTTGATCCAATATGAGGTAAGCTTATTATAAATACCGTATTCCGTATTTTTGTTGTTTTACAGATAAATGAAAACGAAAGCCATTGCTGTGTTAGATGTAAGGCAATACCTTCTATGCCCTCTGTCAACTAGAAACAGAAACAGATTGTGTTACAGCTGGGTATGTTATTCTTGTACATTTTTTAAAAAAATGATAAGCTTATACAGTTAAACCTCTCCAAAGCCACATCCTCTATAAACTGGCTACCCCCATAAACCGGCATATTTGGAAACCCCCGATCGAATTACAATTTAACATCGTGAAAGAACCCCGGTAAACCGGCGTGTCGTGGTTAATTATCACAGGAATCGATTAATCACTTATTCAATTTAAATATCGATGTTCTACTAAACGTTTATTTCCTCGCGTCGAATAAAACGCAAAACTTCAAACTTTATGTCGTTACATTATAATGCAGGAGTCTTGTCACGAGTCGCCCGAGGAAACTTTGTCATCTTTTTGTGAATCGGACAAAATGACATTGAGCCTGGCGGACGGAAGTACACGTGAATAACCGCCACTAAAGAGTTATTATTTTATTTTAACTTTTCATGGCAGATTTATGGGTATTATTGTCAATTTTATATTTCTATGTCTTAACCTTGAATGCAACCTTGAAGAAAGCTTGCAAAGGGCTTTAATAAAATAAGAAAACTCGCTAATTTCTTGCATTGTCGACCTGAACGTTTTCTAGTTTTTGTATGTGCATTTAGGATACTTGCACCCGTTTACATTGTGACATCTACATTGGTTTTCATAGTACCATATATCATTAAGCTTGCATACAAGTGTGCGCGATACATCTGCAAATACCTGATAATCTCTTTTTAATTGCTTAAACCTGTTTTATGGATAAAGGGGGGGGTAGCATTCTTGAACGCCAATACTAACCTCTAGAGTTTGAAAATTCAACATTTATGGTAAATATCGTCTACGGTGGCCAAAAAACCATCGATCATCGATCCCTTATTTTGGGTTATAACACGTACAACCCCCGTCTCTATTTTCGTTTTAGTTTCAATTTCAGTTAAGTGACAGTTACGTTTTTCTAAGACCCGACAACTGCATTTATGACTAACTGGCCTAACTTTTGCTATAAGTTTACACACCACCTACATGTGCATGCGATTACATGCTCACTAATTCTATTACTATTTCCATAGGAATTGATAGCGCAACTTCTTTCCACGCTATGTGTTTCTGAGGTCTTCTGAGCGAGCAAAAAATAAACTAATCAGACACTCTAGAAGCAATTTTTTCAGCATTTCCATCTTTGTGGTTCCTGCAATTCCAGATTTAGTTTATGCCTTTTACAACAGTGACGTCTGTTTTTCTGGAATGTCGAGAAGCTTGTGATTGAAATGGTGCTAGTAGAAGCACTCCAGTCAATGGCATATTTAGTGGGAGGGGGGGGGGGGGGGGGCAAAGGGGAGCCAAGGTGGTCGAATGCCTCACCCCGTCAATAAAATCCTGCCCCATCCTGTGTAATGAGCAGAATTGGACCAAATGAAGGCATTGGATATAAGCTTGAACAATTTTTTTCTGTATTCAAAATCAAGATTGAACAATGATTAGAGATTGAGCATGATTTGAACAATATCACATTTTAAACATCTTTCAGAGATATACAAACAACATAATATTATTCAATATGGTGGTGTATTCTTCGTGAAGTCATCAAACGCTTGTATTTTGTAGTATAATTTGTCAGAATGAACCAGGGAAGAGCTTCTGGTAGTTGCAGACAGTATTTATAGAGACGTTTAACAAAAAATCCTTTTACCCCAAAATGATCAAAATGATATCAACCTTAATACAGGACAAGGATCACTTTAATCTTTTTATCACAAGCATTTACAACCATAACTATAATTTACATATTATTGTTATTATAATTTACATGGGAGTCATTTGTGTTCCTAAAGCACCAACAGGGGGCATTTGACTTCGCATTTGTTGCTGCATTTGTTGTCGCATGATAATTGGAATAATTGCTTGCATGTTCTCTCCGCCGCTTAATGCAATCAATGTCATGGGGTCGATATTTTGATTACCCATCAAAGTCATAGCTGCTAATGGATTTTCACCAAATTGTTTCAGCAGCATTTTTGTCATGATCATTTTCGCAAATTGACTTTGTCCGCCTCCTAGGACTCCACCACCACCACCACCACCACCACCAATATTTTGATTTTTGAATAATGCATCCATTAATAACATTTGTTTAAAGTTGCCACCGCCACCACCGGTCATGGCAGCTAAAATTGCAGGATTGATGGCTGTAAAATACAAAATTGATGAAAGTTATGACATATTTACACCCAACAGAGAAAGATACATGATAATACAATAATGGATGCAAAATTGTAGAACTGTGAGGTTCTCGACGCCCGCCCTCCCCCCTCCTTTTCTATAAAAAATTAATTGGCACTATAAAAGAATTCGGACTTCCGACCAATTCCGTTACTGCTACTTTAACACCATACAGCATTGCCCCTCTGAATATATTATTTGTCCCTCCGAACAATCAAGAACGGGTCTGCGGAAATTTCTGCTTTAATTGTAGGGGTATCAGATGTCAGATTGTAATATTTGTGGTATTGAGCTCTTAGTTATTAAAGTCTGCTATTTTACAAACCAAATTCATATTCCTAGACAAAAGTCCGAAGGAAAAGTAGCTTTAGCTGAATTAAAAAAAAAAATCCATGTTGATTTCCGAAATTAAAGTTTAAATTATTAACTTTCCACCTTTTACCCTTTTCAAATTGCAAAATTAAGTCTTGTTCCTAAGATTTAGGTTTTTGTGTTATTGGCCGCACTAACCTCCCGGGATTGGGGGTACAAATAGGGTACAGACTGACTCAATTGGGGGTCAACTGTCGTGGCTGAATTCAAAATGCGGCAACTCTGTGGAGTCGCATGTCTTTCATGGAGAGGAGAGGGCTCTCCCAAGAACATTTTCGAAAAATTGAATTGATTTTGTGCATTCTGACACATATCTTGGTGCAAAAAACGTATAAAAATCTTTATTTTGAATTTATTAAAAATAATGTGGTGATATAATGGAGGGTGCGAATCCACCTGCCATACCCCCACTGGCACCAGCACTGCTTTTTGGATACTCTTTAAGAAGACATAAAAATTCTTACCATTTGTTGTTGCAATGTAGGCGAAAACCACCACGACTGCTAATGTGAGTTTCATTTTTGTGTTTATTTCCTTTCCGACCTAAACAAAAAAAAAACAGAACAAAAAATAATATTTTATAAATCAAGTAGAAAACCACAAATATATATATCCATTTAAATCCAACTAACTTGGCCATTGATGGAAATGGGAGATAATAATTACATATGAAACTAAGAATGGTTCTTACTTAGACATAGTACACACGAGCGTGGTTCACAACCATTTTGAATAACTATCTCGACTCATTAAGTACAATTTTTGAAAACGCTATTATATTTTAACTAAGCCTTCAAATCACATTTAAAGCGATTTCTATACCTTTAAATGTGATTTAAAGGTTAAGTTGAAAAATTATAGTTTTCTTTTGAAAATTCGATAAAGAGATTCAAAATGATCGTGGACTACGTTCGTGTGTATTGTTTCCATGCAAGAACCATACGTAGTTTCATATGACAATATCTAGTTATTGAAAGAAGCATTTGTTTGGGCCAAGGTATATCAATATAATATAAAAAGCCCAGATAATCCCGTTGTCGCTTTAAAATTTCTACCATTGTACACTACATAGCTTTGTCCGTCTTTTGCTTTTTTCAGATATTCATAATATGGAAAATTAACCGCCGAAATTTTCTTTTTTTTGGGAGGGTAGTTTTTATACTTATTTTTTTTTCATAACAATTTGTCAATTACTTTAAAGAAATGGATAACTCTCAGATCTCCTAACGGCAAATGTTTTCTCCACGGGCACCAAAAATAGGCAAAAGACTCAGTGAACGTGAACAGATTCTATCGAGAAATCGACAAAAATCATGAAATTGTGACAATTTCAATTAAAGGACAGATTTTGGGAATTATTACATAGGCTTTTCAGGTGCCCATCGAGGTGTTCTCAAGTGCGCTGAAGGGTAATAACAGCCCAGGTAGGAGGCATGTGTCACAAATCCCGAGTGAAAGTACATGACAGATTGTAATCTCCTAATGCGGATTTGCCGAAGCGAAAGAGTAATCTCGGTCTCTCAATAGATCAACACAGAGCTAACAATATTGCCAAGATCGACATCAATTTGCTCCTCAATGACAAATCTTGCTTGCTTGTGCTAAGTCAAGCATAAAAATCCATCCTTTGATAGAAGAAAAGATGAACGAGCGAAAAAGACGAGGTGACGATTGCGGCTACTGCTTTGGAAAATTTTCTTTCACACTACGTATCACTAGCGTAAAATTCCAACTAAAATCCTTTGTAAATCAAAGTAACAAAAGTTCCAATTAATCTGCCACAATAGATTCCACAAGATAAATACTAAGAAACCATTGCCGTGTAAAAATATAAAATCCACAAACTAAAATCTTGTATCAAACAATATGAATGCCTACAGTAGAGACAGCTTCAGAAATTCTGAAACGAAAGTTAAGTACGTACCTGCAGAAGTTCCTCTTGATATCAAAAAGGTTGAAGAAGTGATGCTCACTGTGTTGATAATGCCTTATATATAGCCAGGATCATTCAAGCTGTAGCAAGAGACATCAAATCAATCAATCGCAAAGTGACAATTTCGTGTTGCGTTCTATTTTAATGGTCATATTTTAGGCTGCGCGATGACGGCAGCCTTCAAGGTGGCGTACTTTGTCATTTTCTATTCAATGATTTAGTAAATAATACGCAATGATATACACGAATTCTTAAAAATTCTTTTGAACATAAATTATGTGAAAAGGGGGAAGAAATCGTAAAAATATCCTAATTCGCATATGAAATGACGTTTTGAGAGATAAATTCGTGGATGAAATTAAACTGACATGTATTTTGCAAAGAAAACATAAAAGTCGCAGTAAAAATTGGGGTTTTACGTCAAATAAACGATGTGGTAATACTGCTTATTTTTTAAGTTTGATGAATATAACGTGACGAATATGTCATAAAACGGACGAAAACAAGTTAAATTAAGTTATATTCGACTATTATTCACCTTCTAATGGACAAGTTTTTCTTGTTAAAATGGTAATGAGGAGTCCGAGGTATTTAGGTTCTGACGCATGAAGAATTTCTTTTAAAAATCACACGTAGCTCCCTAGTACACTGTTAATCATTCGGAACTATGCTTGCTCTATTCGAGGCGCCTGGTTTTGTTTCTCTTTGGAGGTTTCGACTTCTAACAACCTTTACCCTCGATTTTGTTTCGGTGGGATTTTGATTAATGGAATTGTCTTTCATGTACGGATTTTTATTACTACTTCAATCAAGAGGCGTCCTTTTGTTAGGAACTGGAGGGATTCCACGCTAAGCCTAAGTGAATAGGATGGGTTTTCTCCAAAATTTAAGGTGAACTACATCAAAATATATTTAGAAATTTAAGAAAATGAAAGGCAGTGACGAACAGCGTTTGTGTGTAAGTGTGTCCTGGGTGGGTTTTATATCCCAACCGCCCTACCACCCCAACTGCTAATAAAAATTTGCGCTTGTTTTATTTTTGAAGGATCGTAGATTTCATACAAAGGAAAACTAACATTTTCAATTTGGCAGAATTTTTGGTGACGTCAATACAGAACTCACAGTGACATGCAACCGGATGATGATTACTAATTATTATAGAATTTGATAATTGGTTCCCAATCACAGTCGTGCGGAACCGGAACCGGAGCACCGGATCAACGGTTACTTTTACATAGTAAATATTCAGTTCCCAGTGAAAAGCATGCAGATATCGGGGTTTCTGGATTATCGGCAACTGGATAAACGCGGCCCCACTGTATTATGGAATCACAGATTATTAAAAACCCACCCCGTTTCCACAATGGAGAGGTTTGAAACTATAGGTTCATATTATAATGTGGGCGTATAAAACGTGTTAGACTTTCTATTCTTATCTTTATACTGTATATTACAAGATGATAATTTCAAAAAATTAATTTTCTATGGTCTAGTGTGTCATATTTTTAAATTTTTGACGCGACATATTACATTAACTACTTTCGTTTAACATTTCTTTTGTAATATCACAAGAGGGTTCTCCTGAGAAATTTTCGATATGTTGAATCGATTAGGTGCATTCTGACTCATATGTTGGAGCAAAAACGTACACAAATCGTATTTTAAAATTTATCATTAAATAAAGTGGGGGTACAAATTGGGGGTGGAAGCCAGATTTCTAGCCCCCATTTGCGTCGCCACTGTTCATTCTCTAAGATGCAGTAAATTGCTGTCAGTCTATTTCTCGTTCCTCAAAAATTCTTACTCTTTCGGGTATAATCAAGTTTTGCACTACTGCTGCCAGTCTGCATTTGAGTTTGTCAGATTTCCCCGTAAATGGAAATTATCTTCACTAAGGTATTTTACGCAGTAATCATTGCTTTCTATCATCGGACACTACGTCAATATTATAAAACGTACAAAATGAAAATACTAACAAAAATAATTTATTTCTCACATTATATAATGAAATGTATTTCTAACATTAATAATGACAATTTCTGTTTTCCTGTTTCTGATGGATTGTCGAGAAGAGTGTGCTCATACAAAATTAATTTTTTCAAATGACGAAAATAAGATATCATAGGAAAGACCAAATATTAAGTAATGTGCGAACAACTTAAATACGATTTTGTTGAAGCAACAGAAGAGGAGCAATTTTCTTCATTGTGTCGCCAGCTGAGAGCGCCAACAACAATGGTGAAATACCACCAGCGCCTCCCAGTCCTCTTAAGCCTAGAAGTGCGTTTGATCGTGTTGCTCCTGCATCTCCTCTGTTGGGAACACCTTCGGCAGCAGGCCCGGCACCAGTATCCCGGAATCTTCTTTGATTCTGCATAGCCAACATCAAGGCGGGACCAGCATCACCCAGTGTCTTCATCATTACTAAATTTTGCAAAAGGTTTCCACCACCGCCTCCGCCATTTTGATTTCCCAAAAGCATAGCTAAAGCCATATCTGAGTTTAGCATCTGAGCTGCAATTGCAAAATATAAATGGTTAACTACTTGTATAAATGAAACAAATTACAACATTGGTCAAGTACAATGTTATTTCAATGGTTTTGTTGTCGGATGAAAATAATGAAGTTCTTCATAAAATGCCTAGCATTATGCAGAATCGATATGGGATTATATGGTTTACTTTTATCGTCTATTTTATGGGACAATAAACCGAGGTTTTGTTGTATATGTGCACAGGAAACACAAATATTGCCTCCACTTGGTCTTGTATATGTCCCTGTCAGTGATGCAGGTAAGAGGGGCTGACGTGGATAGTCGATCGTATGGGACTACAGAATGTGCACGTTAAAGATCCCTCAACAGTTGGAAATCTAAAAAGAGCAGGCTAATGCCGCTGTCCTGGCACAATTTCCCTCATTGCATCCTACATGGCGTTGCACGTCTTCTTTAGCCCACATGGTGCAGAAAAGTAAGACGTAAAACTATTTTCATTTCATTTTCATTTGTTCTTGTATATGACATTTAAACTCCAAAAATAATCTTAGGTAGTTCTGAACGAAAGGATTCGACCTGTCTCTCCGTCCTATTGTAACTCAAATCAAGGAGCACTTGATACCCAGTCAATGGCGTATCTAGAAAATGCCTGATTCGGGGACCAAATATGAAGGGTGTCTCTCCAAAGCGCTGCCAGAGGCACCGTTGAAGCCAACAGATTTCAGATGGCATGAGAAAAATTTTTAGCATTTAGAGATCATCCTTCTCACTTGCCCGAGGGAAAAATCTTAACTTCCTACCTAAATACGCTTCTGTACCCAGTTCACAACTATCGACTAAACAGCTTTTTATACGCCCACATGAATATGTGGTCGTATATTGTCGTCGCCCCTGTCCGTCGGTCCGTCCGTCAACATTTCTTGTGAGCACTATAGAGACTACAGTTTTTATCTGATTTTGATGAAACTTGGTGTGGTGCTTTAGATTGATAAGATCTTGGTCAAGTTCGAATTTGACATATTTTCGATGAACGGTTTTTGAGATATTGCCCTTGACTTAGAACGCCTTGAAATTTGTTAAAAATTGTTCGTGAGCAGGATTGAAGCTACAGTTTTCATCCGATTCTGATGAAACTTGGTGTGATCATTGGAATTCATAAGATCTCGGACAAGTTCTAACTTGACGTATTTTCGATGAACGGTTTTTGAGTTATTGCCCTTGACTTCGTTAAAACGCGTCAAAATTTGTTAAAAATAGTTCGTGAGCAGGATTGAAGCTACAGTTTTCAACCGATTCTGATGAAACTTGGTGTGATTATTGGAATTGATAAAATCTCGGACAAGTTCTAACTTGACGCATTTTCGATGAATTGTTTTTGAGTTATTGCCCTTGACTTTGTTAAAACGCGTCGAAATTTGTTAAAAATAGTTCGTGAGCAGGATTGAAGCTACAGTTTTCAACCGATTCTGATGAAACTTGGTGTGATCATTGGAATTGATAAGATTTCGGACAAGTTCTAACATGACGCATTTTCGTTGAACGGTTTTTGAGTTATTGCACTTGACTTTGTTAAAACGCGTCGCAATTTGTTAAAAATAGTTCGTGAGCAGGATTGAAGCTACAGTTTTCAACCGATTCTGATGAAACTTGGTGTGATCATTGGAATTGATAAGATCTCGGACAAGTTCTAACATGACGCATTTTCGATGAACGGTTTTTGAGTTATTGCCCTTGACTTACGAAAAACGCTTTAAAATTTGTTTGTGAGCACAATAGAAGCTACAGTTTTCAACCGATTCTGATGAAACTTGGTGTGATCATTGGAATTGATAAGATCTCAGACAAGTTCTAACAAGAGATATTTTTGATGGACATTTTTTGAGTTATTGCCCTTGACTTTGTAAACACGCGTCAAAAGTTGTTTTTTGCCCTTGATTAGAGCTGTGTGATTTAATTGTTTTTTGTATTTGGGTTATTGATATTGATTTAAAAAAAATTTGTGGAATTATTCAGCATGAATAATGTCTTCAATATGAGAAAATTCGTATTTTAGTCATTAAAGACTGTTTTATTTTTTCTGACATCTGCCAGTGGGCGTATGTTACCTTGCAACGCAAGCTATCTTTCTGTTTTCTGCACTGCACACTCGCTAATATGAAAATGCTGGATCAATGCGTATTTGTTTGCTCGTGTTTGCGGGCTTGAAAAACTGCCTCAACGCCGTTTTGTAAACGAGTAAGAAATAAAATACTCACCATTCAGAACCCCAACCGAAGCAAGGACCACAAAAACTAAAACTTTCATTGTCTGTAAAATAACATATACTTGTTACTGACTAAAGAGAATTTTCTTCAAATATTAAGCTTGTTCCAAGCTATGTCATTGAAAACAATCATTAGGCTTTAAGAAATCGGCCTGTTTTCTCTACAGTTGCATCAAACGACCTAGAGCAGGCTAATGCAGCTGTCCTGGCAAAGTTTCCCTCATTGCACCCTGCATGACGTTGATTGTCTTCATTATCCCACATGGTGGAGAAATGTAGGATGTAAAACTCCATTTTATTTCATTTTCTATCGGGAAAGTTACGCTACGCACTGCAACAGATTCATTATGGTGCAGAAAAGTTGGACGTAAAACTCATTCCATTTCATTTCCAACAGATTCAGTTATACGGAAACTGCCGAGGATTGCCGAATGTAGTTACACTTGCTCAGGGTTTTCTTGCTGTAAAGTGCATTTTACTTACTATTTTAGATTATCATACAGGTTCCCATTTTTCTATGCATTGGAGCCCTGATAAAACTGTTTGAAGCCTTTTTCAAATTACAACTTAAAGAGATTGTAGAGAGGTTTTCTAAAAGTATATATTTATTGGGGACACTGATAGCATCGATTTGTACCATTCCAATTTTTAACCAGATGTCCGTGGTTCCTGCAATTCCACTAACTGTTTGATGTCGTCACATGCTTGTATAACTTATAAGGCCATCATGATTAGCGACTTCACCAAACACTCAGTGTTAATGGAATAACAGGAACCACAGACGTCTGATTGAAAATTGGAATGGTGCAAATTGATCCTATCAGTGTCCCCAAAAATTTTTAGTTGAAATTGTAAGAAAACCATATATGATTTTGCAGTCGAGATGATTAAATTTGGCAGATACGAAAATAGCCTACAAAAAACTTACTGTCATTTTCAAGATGTGATGCACCAAGCTTTACTCCTTAGAATATGATCCTGAACTGATCTGGGATGAATTTAAAGGTTTTTAAGACTTGAAGGACTGTTTGAGGGATTTATCTATCATTGTCATGTCCGTTACGTAACGTGACAAGTTCGTATGTGATGCTGTGACATGCCTATACGGGCAATTATAGCATTGATTGATTTGTGACTTAAACAATGTCTATTATGTCTGTTCTAACGGCCTCAGGTCACGAGTATACATGGATTAAATTTAATTTGTATTAAGACATTTGATTTGATTGCGGAATTTTTTCTATCGGTTTTCTCTTTTTATTCGTGATTTCTATCCAGTTTTATATTGAATTGGTCAAATTTAGAATTGGTCAAATTTAAATTATTCTGCAAATGACAATTTCTGAAACTAATCAGTAATAGTATTTTCAGCTAACCGTAGAAATTTAAGCCTTCAAATCCATATGTGTCAAGAATTACCCGCCTTTGCATGTTAAAAAGGCGACTGGTTTTTGTTTGAATTTGTTTTAAATTGACATGTATAGAAATACAAAGAGAAATTTCAAGTGTGAGGTATTTTTGAAGGAATTATGCGATTTTCGCACATTTCTAGTCCTTCTGAAAAATTATATACGTATGTCCCTTTAAAAAATACTTATTATATAATACACACTGCCAAAACTTTTGAAATTGTGGCTTGACTATGTGACTCAACAAGTCATGTAAGTCATCTAGAATTTTCAGGGTGGGAATGCATTCAAGGTCGTCGGAAATTTGTCTGAGGTACATATCATCTTTAAAATGACGACAAGAAAGAAGGACACGACTTTTCTTAAGTTACATGAATTGCCTAAATCTGACTCGAATAATTAATCAAGAACTTTACGTGAGCTATTTTAGTCCAGTCATCATGATTTTTTAGTCTCCTGTAAATCCGTCCCCAGTCGTTAAATACATAAATGACATCTCTCATTGTCTTTTAAAGGAACAGTTTCTTATATTTGTCAATCTTTTTAAATTTTTCATTTCCAAAAATATATTTTCTCAAGTGTTCAAGATTTCAAAGGAGATTGAGAAGCATAGTATAGCAGGAAGTCACTCAGGTCCGTAGCAATCTAAATTTTTCAAAGGGGTGGGACATGGAGTTGATGGGGGAGGGGGGGATTGGGGCGGGGGGTTTCAAGTAAATGATTCAGCAATATCATTTCAGATCACGTTGCGACCACATACCACTATCTTCTGAGACAGTTGAAATAGCTTAGATGATTCAACACTTTTAAAGGGACATTCTTCTTTTTTGAGAAAAAAATTTCATTATCAAAAACGTCTTAAATTATACCTGAAAATATTTCTAACGTATGTTATTTATATCTATATATCTTCTTGATCATATTGAATTTGTTTAAAAGGGTTAATTAAAAACAGAGAGTACTAATTGTTAATAAAGCTTTCAGATACTTTAAAGAGCACATTTTTCTTGATTTTGGTGTATAGTTTTCACAAATTTTTTCTACCTACAAAAAAACCGGAATGTTCCTTTAAAGTGGGAGTAGCTTATTATTTAAAGTCTATTAGAAGAGTAAAGACTGGATGTTAAAGCCTATTAAGAAATGGGATCATATTTATGAAATGTTGTAAGCACTTGGAGTTTATGAAACACTGGACCCCGTTCTTTAAAAATTCGTGCGACTAAACTTGCACGTTTAGTGAAGAAAAACGACATTTTTATACTCGCGCGTTAATCTACGATATTTTGATAAACAGAGCCGTGGTTATTCCCTCTAATAAGCCCAAAAACGAGTTATGTCGCTGTCCTGGCAAATTTTCCCTCATTGCACTCTGCATTGCGTCACTCGTCTTCATTAGGTTGAACGGCAATACTATGTAGGCGTCTTAGTCGCAAGCCCGTCGTGGAGTGTTTGAAAGAGTTCTCCAAAGAAAAAAATTGAATTGCTTTGGTGCATTCTAATACATATTATGTAAGAAGGACGTATAAAAATACTTTTTGTGAATTCGTTAAAAATACAGTGGGGTACAATTTGGGGGGGGGGGGGGGGTCAATTTTTTGGCCGCCCAACACTCGCCCAACCCCACCCCCCTACCCCCCCCCCCCCCCCCTTACCCTTACTGATTATGGTGCAAATTTATAAGACCTTTACTATCTATGGTGTAAAATGATAAAGTCAGGAGACACATTTCCTGTCTATGTTTTATTGTCACATCATTATATAGCCATCATACATTATATATATTCTATTTCTTTCGTAACATTAGTTTTTCTTAAGGATAAGTTAAGTCTAATTTGACGTTTTACAGCTTAGCTTTTAAAGGGATAGGTTCGCCATTTTCGGGGTTAGATTTAGGTCATGGGTATATAAATGAAATGAAATGAATGGAGTTTTACGTCCTACTTTTGTGCACCAATGGGTATATAAATGGTGTACATTAATTCACAAAAATCGCATAATTTCTTCAAAAAATGGCGAACTTGTCTCTTTAAAATGCCTTTCTAATCGCAATTGATTTCAAATGATTCAAAACGTACAATAATAGCGTTGGTGAACTGTTAGATGTTAGGGGACTAAATTCTTTGCACAAATTGTTTTACATCGATATAATTGTCCTGCCTTTAAAGGAATTGTAAAGAATTGGAATGGTATCAGTTTCCCAATACTCAAAAAGTTTTTGAAATAACCTCCATAATTCCTTATAATTGTATCTTAGCATTTCATAAAATTTGCTTAAACTTTTTCAATGCGTCGTTTTGTTTCTTATGATAATCCTGTCATGTCAGATCGATAAATACAATGGCAATTATTACAATCGTAAGGTTGTAAACGTTACGTGAACGACAAGTCATAAATCATCGGCGTATTTATCATTGTCAATGTATGTAAAAGACACAACGTTACGTAAGAGTCGCATTGTTGTTGATCATCATCAATCAGTAGTCGCTGGCAGTTGCACATGGTCATACCTGTATAAATTGTCCAGGATCAAAGTGATCTTCACAATTTGTCTCAGCAACAACACAGTCATTGGTAAGCAATAATATTTTCTGTTTTCTGTTTTTATCACACAGTTCGCATTAAGGAAAGTTGTGGCTAAATAAGTCATTTGCTGAGAAGTCCGTTTATCAAGCACTAACGATCCAAACGGCAAAACGAAGCACGAAATCAAAAAACAACATATTGGCTTCACATGAGGAAGTATGTAACAAAAGTCGTATCAAGTGACACGTAAGAGTAAGCACACCCCATCTTTGATGTTTCGTTTCGTAACTACTATAAATGATTTTGTCGAACCATTATTGCTGAAAAAAATAAGACGAAAAAAATAGTAAATAGATATGAGTTCTGCGTCCTATTCTTCTGCTCCGAATGGGCACATGAGAATACAGAGTCATATTTTGATCAGTGATGTGATTTTAAATAGAAAATTATTTTTTCTTTTTTTTTTTACGCAGAATTTATCAAAATGAACGCCTTTATAACAGTATCCATGCTTCTATCAATGGCCTTAGTTGGCAGTGGTAAGTTTTATTTATCTTTTTTTTATCCTTTATCCATAGATGGCAAACATCTTGATTGTTACTGTACTTCAGAAAGGATTATGGTTTGTCATATTGGTCATTGGCAGAGTAAGAAGCCACTTTAGAAAGTATCTTAAACTGAAATATTAACCGTGGTTTGTTCCCCTGATCGGTAATAAACTTAAAATCCGTAGTTTAGGCATTTTAGAACTTAAATCAATTGTAAATAGGTTCTTTATTTTTTTATGTGCATCGATAACACTGATAGCATTAATGTGCACCATTCCAATTCAATCAGAAGTCTGTGGTTCCTGCAATTTCACTTAAACTAAGTGTCACTAATCGCAAAATATGCTTTAACACATAAGGCCCTTCGATTATGTCAGTGTCCCAGATACACATTTTTTTTTTTAGAAAACCTTATTTAATAAGATTGGCCTATCATGGGAAATTTTTTGATCTTTATCTTCAGAATTTTGAAAACTTTGGCGAACTCTACGTCTCTACTTGTCTGAAAGCTAACAGTATAATTGTGTTATATCTTCTTTTATTTCAGCACATTTATTTGGACATCCTGCAGCACCCGGAGCCGGAGCGGGATCTGCAGGAACTGGAGCAGGAGGTCCATCTCCTAATATGATTCTACCTCTGTTAATGAGAAGTGGTATGGATATGAGAACACTCATGATGATGATGTCTTTGTCCAAGAATGGACAAGGTGGTCCAGGCGGGGCTTCTGGTATGAGTGCACTCCCACTAATGATGGCTCTCCGTGGTGGATCCGAAAACTTACTGCCATTAATGATGATGATGGGTAAGGGAAAATCAGGCAAAATTGATCCAATGATGATGGTGATGATGGCTGGAGGAAACGACAACATTATGCAGATGCTCCCATTCCTAATGACAAGAAACAACGCCGGTCCCGGAATTGAAACTACAGCTCCAGCAGGTGCTGCCCAACCCAAACCAGCTGGTTTGATCTAAACTAAAAAATCAAATGTATGTTGTATGAATGTTATTTATAGAAAGAATAAATGAATTAGTTTTTTAACCCTTTTCTTGTTTTTAGTGACATTTTGCTTCTAGTTGCGTTTGAACCTGAATGGCTGCTGCATAATAGAGTCCAGATCACTTGGGAGAATCAAACCTTCCCTTCCCAGAAACCTAATTGAGTGTCTTAAGGATGGGTTCCATTATTTGCATTTATGAACATAGCTAATACTTATATGAATACTAAGTAGAAATGGCATGTCTATAATTAATTCATAATTAGCTAAATTAGAAGAGAATTACAAACAGAATTCCAGTGATTGACCGATAAATTTGTTTACATACATGGACATTTATTATTGGTAAAAACTCTTAATTATATGCAATAAGAACACAATGATGTGATAAAGAATACGTGGTAATTCATTAGAAACACCAATCTATCAAATAATTTGCTTAATTTGACACTAAAAAGTAAGGAACCCCATCTTTAAAGTATATTTATGACAAGCAATATGTTTATACAATCTGATCTGAGGTAAACTTAACATGGTAGAAATTAACTCTAACACAGATACAAAATCCTCATCCTCATAGGCCTATTTATTTGCGAGAATTAATCCCTTTCTTCACCGAAATCTAGATGAAGTATTTGTTTCATCCTGGGCCTGTTTATTTGCGAGAATTAATCCCTTTCTTCACCGAAACCTAGATGAAGTATTTAATTCATCCTAGGTCTGTTTATTTTGGAGAATTAATCCCTTTCTTCACCGAAATCTAAATGAAGTATTTGTTCCATCCTAAGCCTGTTTATTTGCGAGAATTAATCCCTTTCTTCACCGAAATCTAGATGAAGTATTTAATTCATCCTAGGTCTGTTTATTTTGGAGAATTAATCCCTTTCTTCACCGAAATCTAGATGAAGTATTTAATTCATCCTAGGCCTATTTATATAGGTGAATTAATCCCTTTCTTCACCGAAATCTAAATGAAGTATTTGTTCCATCCCAGGCCTGTTTATTTGCGAGAATTAATCCCTTTCTTCACCGAAATCTAGATGGAGTATTTGTTTCATCCCAGGCCTGTTTATTTTGGAGAATTAATCCCTTTCTTCCCCGAAATCTAAATAATAACCATCTGTGGTCAATGGTTACCAGTCTCGCTGTTGAACCAGCCATCGGTGTAACCTTAGCCAATGTTTGTTAGTTTAAGTGAGTTGAACATTGACTCAGCTATTAAAGGTTGACATATTATTAGCCAGGTAAATTGGCAAGGGCACATAACCTTGTCGGAAGATTGATTTTGATTGGCTAGAATAGCGTATAGTGATTTACATGCGGTAAAATTCGCAAGACGAAATAGTTTTATCGAAACAATTGTTATAACATTGTTTTATGAATAGTGATTTATGTATTGATGTTTTATTGTGGTATTATGTAAAATATGAATTAAACAGTAACCATTAAAAATGGGTTTCCTTATTTTTTAGTGTCAAATTAAGTAAACTATTTGATTAATTGGTGTTTCTAATTAATTATCATGTATTCTTTATCATATCATTACGTATTTATTGCATATAACTAATACTTTTAACCAATCTTAAATGTACATAATTATATGGACATGTGAGACAAACTGGTATTTTCCAAGTCAATAGCACACCTCTACTTTCTATTCATATAGATATAAGCATTTTCATTTTCATAAATGAAAATAAGGGAATCCATCTTTTATAGATTCACAAACTAGATGACATGTTTGTTATTGTAGGTTTGATGCTGAACACCTACATTTCTTTTGAACGGAAACAACCGAAATATATTATTTTCAATACGGTGATTTCCGTTCAGTATACGACGGTAATAATCAGCATTCTTGTGCCGAAGGTTATACGAATGGAACCATTGGGTCTGCTTTGCAAACTTTACGAGCACATGCTAATACGAGGAATAGCAGCAAGTTGGGAGGGACGTGTAAGATCGTAGTTACTAAATTTTCAGTTCATGATGGCAGCGAAATCCATGATGACGTTCAAAGCACGTAAATACCATTAGGCTACCCACCCGAACATTATAGATGCCCTTTATAAGGTCGAGTGAACCAAATATACCGATGTTTGTATTTTTAAAACGATCCTATACATTTTTGAACTTTTAGGACCAAGAGAAACTAATCATATTTACCCAGAACATAATCAACTACCATCCAAAACATTAAAAACCAATAATAAGTATTTGAAAATATTTATTTTTGAAATAACAACATCAAAATAATACAATATAAAAGTGCAATATTATTCTTGAAACTTGAGATCCGCTTTAAAAGTAAAATCAGGACATGGTTGTTTTGTTTAAGAAAATTAGATGGGACGGCCAGCTCCACCAGCAGGGTTGGCAGCACCAGCAGGGAGGGGCATGCTAGCTGGGGGACCTGATTGTTTGTTCATCATCAAGAATGGAAGCATTTGCATCATGTTATCGTTACCGCCCATCATAGCAGCCATCATAATTGGGTCCATACCACCAGCTCCTCCTTTGTTTTTCATCATCATCAACATGGGAAGCATATTTTCTGAACCGCCATTACGCATTAAGATGTAAGGGAGCATACTGCTCATACCTCCTTGGCCTCCACCTCGGTTCATTGACATCATCATCATCATTGTTCGCATGTCCATACCACCTCTCATTAAGAGTGGAAACATCATGCTCATTGGTGAGCCAGCACCACCAGACATCCCTGGGAGTCCACCAGCACCTGGAAATCCACCGGGACCACCTGGACCTCCTGCACCACCTGGAGTCATGCCTGGCAGGAAAGCTGAAATGGATAATAAGGTTCTTTAGTGAGCGGGAGGTCGGCAAACAAATTGGGAGTTTCAACAAAGGTTCATTTGCCCGTAAATAATCCTTTAGATTGCTCACAAAAGATACATTATATAAATGGTAGTATTTACAAAAGTTAGCAAACAAGTTCTATGCCCAACAAAGGTTCAGTTGTCAGTAAATAATCCTTATGATTGCTCACAAAAGCTACATTATCAAATGGGTAGTATTTACAAAGGTTACCAAACAAATTGTATGCCAAACTAAGGTTCATATGGAGTAACATTTACAGAGCACACAGAACAGAAGCTCTTTATATACACAATATAAACAACTAGTTTTGGCAATGGTGGTCAACTTTCCAATATTGAACATTAAGCTGGTGAGCAATGTCAAAGAGCAGGGAACTTACCACAAGCGACTGCAATAGAAGCTGCTAAAGTGACAAAACTAAGTGCTGGATTCATTTTGAGGTTATTTCTGAAATAATAAGAATAAAAATTGGGAGAAATACTTATTTTGTTCGGTCTCTATTGCTTTCTCTATCTGTGCGTACAAAATAATTGATCATCACGAAATGTTTTTTCTTTTTGTTAAGGGGAGGGGTGCATAAAGCGTAACGTAACTAAAAATGTAGGCATAGCGAAATCCTGTTTTCTTGTGCTAATTTAGTTATCATTATCGTAGTTTCGGACCAATTGCCGAAAAAACTGATAAAAAAATGCAAATAGCAAATATACTGAGCAGTAGTTTGATTTTTCTAAAGGCCGTAATCTGAATTGAAAATTTTGCCATACTGAATACAAAAAATCAAAAGCGTAATACAAATATGTAGTGAATTGCAAATATTCTAGAACATGACAAAAAGCGACTAACTGCCTAAATATGGGCATTATATTTGGCTGAACAATTCACAGAAAAGCAAGAAAGGTTATCAGGTTTTGAATAATATCGCTTGATACCAATTAGTTTCTAATAATATACCATTGTAAGATAAACCAGAAATCTCTAAATTCAAAAATGAACTTTTATACGTTTTGAATTTTAAGATTAACTTTAAACGACGTTATTTAAATTTAAAAGTTAAAACTTTTGAAATAACTTGACATATTAAGCGTAAAATTTGAATATTAGTGAGAATTGTGACGTTTTCTTAATAAAATTAAGTCTTCTGTTTGTGATGATTCAGTTAGATTAAGCTCTTACCTTGAGTTGTTGTGTATACCAATAGAAGAGAAGATGATACTGATTCTATGAAAATTTGAATCTTATTTATAGTCCTAAAATTTCCCAAATTATGTTAGTTTGAATTGATGAGCCTATTAATCATCACTGAATTAAGTCATCTATTTAAATCATCCTGGTATGATATGCCCTGTTTGCCCTTTCCTCTATATTGGTGGTTTTGAAACTGTTATCATTTTATCATCAAATGTCGGTTGTCGCGACCAAAAAATAGGCATATTTGCATTCATTGTAAAAATATTTTTGTTTCTCTTTCATTACTTTATTATTAAAGCGATATATGTAGTCGTATATGCCTTAAAAATTTCTACATCTTAAAGGGATTAGAGGTTTTTCTAAAAAAATTTATGTTTGAGGCATTTCAATTTTCAATCAAATGTCTGTGGTTCTTGCTCACACGCCGGGCGTTACGTGTGGAAAGTGGATCAGATATCTGAAATTAAGCTTTATCTAAAGGTAAAACACATGACGACTACATCGTCAATGTCAATGAAAAATGGTTTCTGCCCACTAATTATGTTCAAAAATTCAAAAACATGATTTTTATACGTTTTTGCCCCAAATGGTATATTTGAATGTTTCAGAATGTACCAAATCATTTCAATATTTCGAGCCAATTTAGTCCCGTCAATGGATCATGAATCAGACGATATAAATTTGCTTATAGGGATGTTCCTCCAAGTATAGGTTTGGTCCCGATCATGTTTTGGGCGATGATGTGTTGTTTTAGAGGAAATCTTCGGGAACCCCGAAGGTACAAGATATTACACGATAGTGCTCATAGGTTCCTGACTTTTGCGGAAAAATGCAGTCGATCGACCCCAAAAATGACGTTAATTGAGAGGTTTTGCAACTATACGTAGTTCCCGCATTTTGAATTAGCTTCGACAGTTATCTACTCATCATCTGCCACCGTTTTGTACCCGAAGTCTCGGTAGTAGGCTGGCGCCACCATTGGCAATGATATAATAAAAATTTCAAAATTGACGTTCATTAGCTGATATAAATGAACATTGTTGTCATTTTAACACCTTTTCGAGATCTTTTTCCTTGTATTCTGTTCAAAGAAATGACAGGTTCTTGGCTGATTCTTTGTTTGCTGCGTTGGCTGCAGTGACTAGATTAGTCACTAGTTGGTTGGGGTCCTTTCCACAGGAATTGTGTTTTTACATTTATTATGCTCTCCTGTATATTTTCCCCCATTAGAAGTGGGGGCCCTTGGACTTGGTTCAACCAGTCCCTGTGGTTATTGAGCCACTAGTTCGCTGAAAAGGTGATGACATTATCTTTGTCGTCAGGAGTCAGATTTCCCCCTTTTCTGCCTTTGGGTACGCCAAGAAATGAGCAATGAGAACAAATTTCCCAGAATAGCGGCAGCAGCTTACTATTTTTTGATCGACTGATCTGTACAGCCTGATTCACATTTACCTAGGTTTATCGTTCCATTGGTCAACCTTTCCATAATTCACCCATGATCAGGAAAAACCGGGTTGACAAATCTAGAGTTATTAATTCGATTTATTAGACCTTGAACATGCTTATGAACCCGGCTCCCCATACCGCTTGAAGCAAAATTATTTTTTTCCGCAAAAGTAATAATAATTTTCTATAAGGAGGACAATAAATTGTGTCAGTTTACACCAACCGTAGTGGCACACTATCCCTTTTGTTGAGTAATTATAAAGATGACCAGAGTAAGACAGGCCACAAATATGTCAAATATAGAAAACCCTGTCACATTCTGTATGTAACAAGTCCATTACTGGTCCTTTCTACTAAATCGTGACACACGATTAATGACTTTTGAATGATTGAAGATTATCGCTTAAACCATTAAGACGTACTTTTTACCGAGAAAAACGCAAAAATAACTTTCGCTACGACCGTTTGCTTAATTACATTTTCGAAACATATTTTTTAATTGCTGCCGAAACATGTTTTGGACACAAATTTCGTACTAAGGAAGTTGATTTTTGAAATGTGGATTAAAGGGACTGTAAAGAGTTTTTCTTACTGATAAGCTTAGCTAAAATTATCTTTTGAGATTAACGTACGATTGGTCAAACGGATGGCGAAGCTGTCCCTTTAAATGTCACGTGACAGACTCTTTCCTCCTCTGGAAAGCAAGACAACTCTGTCGAAAACATTCCAAAACTTTGCACTGTTTTATTACCAGAAATTTGTGAAAGGTCTTCCGCTTCACTTATTGTAGCGTTGTTATGTATCGTGAAACAGCAAATCAAAAACATAGGAATCACGTTTGCGGTATAGTAATTCAATTAGAATTTTCTTTATTCACTTCAAAATACAATTCTAAATTCTTTAAGAAATCCGAAGACGAACACTTATTGAACCCGAACCTCACTACATTTATCACTACAGTGAAAAAAGCAGGACATGCTCACCCTTCCAAACACCTACTGCAATTCTATGAATGGGTTTGTCAACTCGGCACCCAAATAGTTAAATATTTGAAAACAGTTCCTTTATCGGAGAGTTCACATAGCTAATAATATTATTTTACAACTAATAAAAATAACGCCACAACTCATTTCAGATTGTGATCAATAATGAATTTTACTACATGGGTCCCCCGGGTGCCGTCTGTGTTGATGCAAATCGTTGCATGGCCATTTTCATCTGCTTAGCTCGCTGTTGCTGCATGATAATCATAGGTAGCATCCTCATCATTTTGTCGTTGCCTTCAAACAATACCATCAACATTGCCGGGTCCATTTGCATTAAACCTCCTCCTCCCATCAAAGCATTAACGAAAAGTGGATTTTGCTCTAAAAAAAAAAAAAAATATTTTTTATTATTATTTATTATTCACCAATCGTACTTTAGTCTCAGTAACGGGAATGTTTTTAGCCAAGTCAATCAGTAATAGTGTGCAACTTCTCACCGAAATTTGAGCCTTCAAATCCATGTATGTCTAGAATCACCCGTTTGCAAACCAATTAGTTTTGATTCGCAGATCGTTCTGATCAATTTTAATTTGAGCTTATCATAAGAAATATTGGATCACAGACGGGGTTTATTTGAATCGCAAACTGCGATGCAATACTGCTATAGTTGAACCCTGCAACTTTTACGTATTTAAAAAAAATCATGTAATATATTTTTTTTCTCCGTTTGCTATTGAAAAAAAAGGGTATATTCCCCTTCTATACACTTACTGGTGAATGGTAGGATAGATACCAGTAAAATTCCAAAAGCTAATAACTTCATGGCTGGTTGGCTACCTACAAATACAAATATTACCATGCAACGTATGGATCTACATTCGCGGACTAACCAGGGGCTCAACCAGATGAGCACTTGGACTTAGGGTTTGAGCCCATCCCACAATATTTACATATGCTCTCCTGCATTTTGTTTTCTGGGGTTGCAGGCCTCTAAAGGGTGGAGGGCCCGTGGACCTGGTTCAACCAATCCCAATGGTAGTGAAGCCACCGGAGCTAACTGACGAGCGTCAATTAAATAGTTAGTAAGCGTAAAAATAAAACTGCTTATTTAATGCACGTTGTTAAGGACCCGACAGAACCATGGCGACATGTAGATGGATATCAATAAGAGCGGTCGCTAATGCTACTGTCCTTACAAAATGTATCTCATTGCACACTGCATGCTGCAGGTTTTCGTTAGTCATATTGTAATCTTGGTCAGAAGAGGCAAATCGTCTGCATGTGATTTGCGTTCTTATGACTTCCAAAAAATTTAAAAAAAAAAAATGTGCCTGATATAGTAATAGCTCATCATATCATATCATAATGTTTCTAAAGCCATTTCCTCGCAATCACGCTGTTCAATCCCGACATAGGTCGAGATAATACCTTGAATTTGTCAACCCAGTTTCAGTGATGCAGGTCGAAGCGGCTGACATGGAAAAAGCGTCAAGTCGTTCAGACGGGACAATAAATCGAGGCCAGTGTGCTACAGACTGCACATTAAAGATCCCTCCACAGTTGGAAATCGAAAAAGAATAGGCTAATGCCACTGCCCTGGCAAAATGTATCTCATTGCACACAATATGACGTTGCACGTAGCCCAGTTAGATGCGGAAGAGTAGGACGTAAAACTCCATTCATTTCATTTTTTCTTTGCAATAAATTTTCAATTCGATTCTGAAGGTCGAAATTGCATTACGTAAACTAAGAAGTGACGAAAGCAGCCAATGTCACCTTCAGTAAACAAGAAAAAAGAATCTAATAATCTCACCTGAAGACGAGTTTCATTCGAGAATACAGAGGCAAATGACGGGAGAAAATTGTTATGTCATATTTTATAAAATGTTTTAGTTTTTTGGTGGACATGCATTTGATTAATCATCTGCACAACATGACAGTAATAATCTTTTTTTTTTACGCTATCTATGGTAATTTTCGGAGAGTTCCTGACATGCATGCAAATCATTGGTTACGACATGACGCCATTTTGAAATATGAATGGATACCGAAATTTAGCTTTTGTCATTGGTTAAAATACCACGTGACAAGATGGCGGTAAATAATTCGAGAGCGAGGTCTTCAAAGATTGTGGTAGGGGAGGTAGACACGCATGCAATTCTTGTTCCACAGGTTGAATACCAAAATTGACCGTTTTTCATTGGTCAAAGTATCAGTAATTCGAAAACGAGGTAGTAGGTCGTTAAGATAATAGTCACACCTTGAAACATTCCTGTCAGAAATAAAAAAAAAAGCTCTTTCAGCTCTCTGTGGTAGATTTGAAATGAACATGCGACATTAATTTCGTTTTTATTTCAAGCATAATCATTACCATAATTCAAAAATGTCTCTGACCAGGGGCGTATCTAGAAAATACCTGAGGAGTGGGCCAAAAACAGAGGTGTCTCCGAGGCAGTGGTCCGGGAACTGGCAGGAGTGCTAAAAGCCCCCAGAAGTTAACGGATTTCAGATAGCCAGAAATACATTTTGAGCATTTAGAGGGCTTAATGTTTACTTATCACAGGCCCGCGGGGGGTGTGAGTCGTGGCTCCATGGTCCTCCACTAAATACGCTACTGTCTCAGATGTTGCACTTTAAGATAGAATTATGATGTAGTTTCACATCACACATTCATCTTAATTAAGACGTGTACGTGATGGAGTTGTGTTCAACTTCAAGTTTTACTAGTATAGTTGCTGCAATAGTTTTTTTTTTCGAATGACTGTAGAGCTATCTGGTCGGCCTGATGCACACGGGGCTGTGGTCTTTGCAACTCTTGCATTGGGAAATGGTGCTAAAAAACCCAAAGGATCCATTTCGACTCGGCGATGATAAATCCAGCATTTTAGATTAGCAGTCTGACTTCTGTGACCAATACATCTAAAGGGCCATGGATTGATTTCTCGTGACCCGTTTTCGACGTTTCTTTTAGCTTACTTGTTGGTAAAGTTGTCACAAAAATGTGGTTAATAATCCTTTAGCGACATTTAGGGGTAGAGATCACATTAAATATTAAAATAACGGACAATTTTAAAAGGGGTGTCCACTCCGTTAACCTATCTTCCGTGTCCCATAAATCCTTTGATGCCCTATAGATCGAAACAATACCCTCTGATTTTGCTGCTGGTCGGAGAGGCTGAAATGGAAAAAGCGTCTAGTTGTTCGGATTGGACAGTAAACCGAGGGCTAGTGTGCTACAGGCTTTGCACGTTGAAGATTCCTCGACAGTTGAAAATCGGAAAAGACTAGGCTAATGCTACTGATCTGTCAAAATGACCCCCCCCCCCCCCCCCACCCCAACTGACATTACAGACTGCATAGCGTTGCTCGCCTCTTTCTCCAATAAGATGCAGAAAAGTAGGACGTCAAACCTTCATTCATGTCATTTCATTCGCTTTCGATGCCTAGCTAGAATACCCATCTGACTCTTTTTGAATCTTTGACACGACATCCTACCTCGAGACACACTGTTAAGTTGGTTTTTGTTTTAAAATAACATTTAAAATTGCAGTTTTATGTTTATAATTTACATATGCAGCTCAGACATGAAATTAACACGTGAAGTAATTAATTATGTTTTAAAACTACCTTAACAAACCTGTCTGTGTCACAATTTCCCCACTGATGCATTGAGAATGAACATGTAATTGACGTACACGTGATAATTAGCTATTCATAGTTTCATAAGAACAACAAGTAAGATCCAGGAACGACTTTGGCGATGGAAAAGACAGGCGATTTTATAACACTATAGCACCGAAAAGAAGTGTACTGCATAAACTTTAGATTAACCCATCCTTAGTCACGTTGTTCATTCATACAAAGCTATGTATGGTCCTTACATGGAAATAACACACACGAATGTAGTTCACAACCATTTTGAGAATTTTCCTTGGCTTAATAGGTCAAATTTTGAATAAAAAAGATTTTAATATTTCAACAAAGCCTTAGAATCATGATTCAAGGTTTAGAAGTGGCTTTAAATGTGATTTAAAAGCTTTGTTGAAATATTATATCTTTTTTTAAATATTCGACTTATTAGGTCGAATAGTGATTCAAAATGGTTGTGAACTACGTCCGTGTGTGTTATTTCCATGTAAGAACCACACGTAGTTTCGTATGGGTGTTCATTTTGCATTCAAATGTGTTCATATAAAACCTCGCATGTGTTTTGAATTGTGTTTACACTTTATTCGATAAATCTGATATACCAAAGAACTATCTGGACCAACCAAATGCTTTGTAAGATATAATTTTTTCTCCAATTATCGAACTGTCGTAAATTTGAATGGCAATCATAATTTCAGACATCGGGTATTCTGTCGCCAAAGATAAGTTCAGACATTGGGTATTGTGGAAGGGCAAAGTTAAAGTCAGATATCGGGTATTCTAACGAGCAAAGATTAGTTCAGACATTGGGTATTATAGAAGGGCAAAGAATAGTCCAGACAGCGGGTTCGCCAGACGGACAAAGTTAAGTTCGGACATTGGGATTCTAGAAGTGCAAAGAATCGTCCAGACAGTGGGTTTGCCGGAAGGGCAAAGATAAGTTCAGACATGGGGTATTCTGGAATGTCAAGGATAAGTTCAGACATCGGGTATTCTAACGAGCAAAGATAATTCAGACATCGGGTGTTCTGACAGACAAAGATAAGTTCAGATATCAGGTACTATGGAATAACAAAGATAAGTTCAGATATCGGGTATTTTGACGGGCAAAGTTAAGTTCAGATATCGGGTATTCTGGTATGGAAAAAATAAAGTCAGACATCGGGTATTCTGGAAGGGCAAAGATAAGTTCAAACTTGGGCTATTATAGAAGGATAAAGATTACTTCAGACATCGGGTTTGCTGGCAGGGCAAGGATAAGTTCAGACATTGGGCATTCTGGGAGGGCAAAGATAAAGTCATACATCGGGTATTCTGCAAAGATAAGTTCAAATTTGGGCTATTATAGAAGGATAAAGATTACTTCAGACATCGGGTTTGCTGGCAGGGCAAAGGTAAGTTCAGACATCGGGTAATTTGACGGGCTAAGTTAAGTTCAGCCATCGGGTATAGTGGAAGGGCAAATATAAGTTCAGACATCGGGTTTTCTTACTGGCAAAGATACGCCCAGACATCGGTTTTTCTGGAAGGGCGAAGATAAATTCAGACATCGGATATTTTGGGAAAGGGCAGAGATAGGTTCCGACATCGGTATTGTGGAAGGGTAAGATAAGTTCAAACATCAGATATTCAGGTAATAGCGGTAGTACAATAAGTCATAGTGTACGCCACGTTTGTACTTCCCGTTCGTAAGGTCGGTTGGTTGGAACCCATTCCTGGAAGGTACAAATTTGATGTAAGAAATTACAAATTGAAGAATGATTTGTTACATTTTATTTTGTCTTAAACAAGCTAATCTCCATCAATAAGAAGAATTTACATGTCAGTCTTTGCGAAATATTATCCGATTCAAAGGCCCAACAACTAGTTTGTACATCGTCTAAAATACTACCAGGCACTCAGTAATCAGCTACGGGAAAATAACACTTTGAAAGGTCTTTTTTAGAGTTATTTAGAATGAAGTGAAAACAGTTCAATTGTCTCTTTTAAATAGAGTACAAGTTCCGTTTGGTATTTTGAAAAGTTTTATAGTCAACACACAAGAAAGCAACACGATCATTACATTCCTGGTCCAGCAGCACCGCCTCCAGCAGCACCAGCGCCTCTCATCATTCCTCCTCCACCTCCCATACCCATACCACTGGACATCATAAGCGGCAACATATTCATAAGATTATCGTTACCACCCAGCATTGCCATCATTGCTAATGGATTGCTCATACCACCTTTGGCTGCCAATAAGATTGGTAACATGTTTTCATTTCCACGGAGAGCTGCCATGAGCGGTAACATTCTGCTACCTCCCATACCTCCACCACCACCTAACATGTTCATCAATGCAAAGTGTTTCATGTCCATACCACCCATCAACATGGGTAACATCATCCTGTTCATGCCCATACCCATGCCCATACCCATAGGCGAACCTCCACCTCCCATGGATGCCAGCGGACTTTGTGCTGAAATGGAAACAAAATCAAGAAATAACTATTATGTTCAATCTTAATTTTAGATTTGTATATTTTCGACAAAATCCAGTTAATTTATCGTTATAGAAATCTGCTAATCTACTATGGTATCTGGACTTGCTCATTTATTGTTTCGGACTAAGCTTATTGTCGTATATCAACAGTTTTACGTCATTGTGATTACGTCCAGTAGTAAATAGCACAAAAGTACAGGTACAAAACGTTCTTCATCAGGAGCAAATTTCAGAAATGTGTATTTGAAATTAATGAAATGAAATGAATGGAGTTTTACGTCCTCGATTTCTGCACCATGTAGGCAAATGAAGACGTGCAAGGGAAATTTTGCCAAGACAGTGGCATTAGTCTGCTCTTTTTCGATTTCCAACTGTCGAGGGATCGTTAATGTTATCGTTATAGTATCACATGGGGTCTTGGTTTATTGTCTCATTCGAACGTCAAGACGCTTTTTTCCATGTCAGCCCCTCTTACCTGCATCACTTTCAGGGGGAAAACGGTTTTTGGAATTAATGTACGTACCTCTTGCTAATGCCATGAGGGCCGAAAAAGCAGCTAATACCACGGCAGTCTTCATGATTATTCTGAAAATATTAGAAGATAGACCGTTAGAGAGATGCATTGGTCGAAATGGTTTCTGATGTGAACAATAGTACTTTTCGAGTTTGGATTTATTACGAACCTCTAAAGCACTATCTGCATGCTAGGATGTCAATAACGCACTGTAAGTGACCATAGATTTTGTAATTGAATGTTCAAAAAGCTGACATTGAGCGCTGAAACAAAGCTAAATGAGCCGTTCAAGATTCATTATACAGCAAAAGTCAAATTAATGATAGATATTTTCCACTGAACTGACTATGCATTTCTAAAAGAAGGCAGTCTTTAGGTCCTAGCAGAATTGTCAACTTTGCCTTTCGATTTGTTTCGGGGACATTAATAGCTTCCATTTCTACCATCATGATATGATTATTGATTTAACTTAATCCGGTGATATTAACTTTAACTAATGAACCAAATACGCTATATTGGAAAATTTGGTGATATATGATGCGATAAGGAGCCCCGATATATATATCTAAGCTGAGTGTCTCAAACGAAGACTGCATTACTTATTCAGAAAGACTAACGTGAACATATTTCTTTGAAATATCAATTAAGCCTTGTTAAAGAACAAAGGTGCTCCCAAAAATTTCATATGATAAATTTCTCTAAAATTACAAACTATAACGCTCGATTGAAGGACACAAATGTAAAGTAGTACAATGTGTTGGTAAGTTTGGACTGGCAAGAGTCAAGAATAAATAGCTTTAATGAAAAGCTCAAACGTAGAGTGTTTCTCTTGTCATTGGTGGAGAGGTCTAAGAGTTTACGGGACAGAACCTGCTAACTCTAGCAAAACACCGAGCTGGTGATTTCGGAATTGAGATCATATTGAATATAATTACCCATTTCGTAATTATTGTCCTGAACAGGGAAAATGTAACTAAAATAACTTACCTTAATTGATGTAGGGGGAACAAAATATTCTTACTTAATGAATAAAACTTGAATAACTCGTTATTTATATAGTTAAAAAATCACGAGGCGTAAAGAATAATTGGGTTCTAGTCCGTCAAAAATCCATCATCGTGGCAGAATAATGTTTATATATATGGCATTCACATACCTCATAAAGCTACCTATTGCCCTATTTTAACTCGGATTTACGATTATATTATGCAAATGATAATGACGCTATGATAGAATAATTTATTGTCATTAATGTTAGGTGAAAATCTTCTTTTACTTTAAATTGAAACTAGCAGCTAATGGGAATAAGCTATTCTCGAATATAAATTCCCTTTTGAAAATTCGACTTTAAATGTCGATGAACCAATTCAAAATGGTTGTGAATTACGTTCTTGTGTATTATTTTCGTGTAAAGGTGCGAACAGACAGTGTCCGGTGCGGGATTGTCGATACAGTAGACAATTGAGGAGCAAATCGTGTCCAGACCCGTACATCGTGTGTTCTATTTTCTGCTTTATCGATAATCCCGCATCGTACACCGCATTGGACATCGTCTATAGCATGCGTAGTTTCGTGTGCTACGAGTGCAGCAGAATAACGAGAATGAGAGAATCTTGCCGAAGACGTATAGTTGTGCAAGCCACAAGGCTGTCGGGAAGAAATCTACACGCGGATAGGTCATTTTGTTTTTAACTCAAAAGTCAGGTCGAGTTAGTAACTTAGTGGGGTCGAGTTATGCGTCAGAATGTCTCCCTTGTACACATACTTAAATCTTTCTAACTTTCTAATAAAGGCGGCAATCCTCGTTTTATTTAGTTCTGTTTGCTCATAACTACCTGTATCATACGACAATACTGTTCTTAGGTTTCTAACTCGGATCTGTATTTATCTTCATATCGGTCGTAGTTTTTAAATGTCCGCGTCGACGACGACGCCTTTAATACGAGAAAGCAGATCTTGACCATCTCATGACAACTGTCATATCGAGCAGTCGGTGTGCTGGGGTTGACAAACCGGACCCCACCACAAAAAACATATTTTATATCGTATTCAGGTGCCATATAGCTCGTTTCATTTCATTTCATTTCGAACTTACTATATATTTTTGTTAAATTTGGCCTTGAGTTTATTTTGGTTGACAGAATGTCACAAAAGATAAAATGTGTAAAAAAATAAAATGCAGCTGGTAAACAAATTGATACGGAACAGGTCCCTTTACAATTACGAACTGTGTCTCTACCTGACCTGGCGCGGTGACTCGGTGAATCGGATCCATGGTTCAATCCCGACAAAGCGTCTAGTCGTTCGGATGGGACGATAAACCAAGGCCCTGTGTGCTACAGACTGTGCACGTTACAGATCCCTCGACAATTTTAAATCGAAATAGAGTAGGTTAATGCCGCTGTCTTGAAAAAATTTCCCCTCATTGCACACTGCATGGCGTTGCTGGTCTTCATTAGCCCATAAGGTGCAGAAAAGTAGGACGTAAAACTCCATTCATTTCATTTTCTACCTTGAATTCATTTGGGCTTTTTTCTTTTATCACAGAATACAAATATTTGATTGGATAGTACGCTACAGATATCAGAAGCCTCGATATAAAGTCTTAAACTTAATCGCTTAAGATTTACAGATTTTTTGTAGAGGGCTCTGATTGGCTGTATTCGGTAGTATACAATCCAATCAAATCGCTGCGCTTACAATCCTCTGTGATACAAGAAAAGAGCCTATTGCAGACAGGGTATTAGACACAGTTTGTAATAGCTGACAAGGGCATATAAACTTCATCATCTGTTTAAAAATGTGAAATGCGGTAGTTGAATATATAAATTATAAGAATGCAAAAACACACCCAAATATGGTAATGTTCATTTATACTATGTAAAACGTGTGTGAATATATATATGTACTGTGTCAACCATCTAAAGTTGTTCTGTATTTGATCTGTTTAAAGGGACGGATGCTCCATTTTTTGACCAGTGGTACCTTAGTAACGGGAATTTCTTAGCTAAACCAATTAGTAATAGTGTTTACAACTCACCGTCGAAATGTGAGCCTTCAAAACCATGTGTGTCCAGAATTATTATTTGAATGTTAAATTGACGACTCGTCTTTTTAAGATACTCTGTGATATATAGAAAAGACACATATAGAAATAATTAGTAAAATTCCTAGTTTGAAGTATATTTAAAGGAATTATGCGATGCACTAAAAATAATGACGCCACTTATCGCGAAGGATCATGTGTGATAAAACATGTTTGGCGAATAGTGACTTGAAGGTTTAGAGGAATTGCCGGTTCCATAAACGTCTGATTGAAAATGGAAAGATAAAAGTTGCTGCTATCTTTGTCCCCGATATACATAAAGAATAGAAACTTTTACAATCCCTTTAAGAATGTAAGAGATATATAATTGGGAATTTCTCAAAATTTTGCATTGCATAAAATGAAATAAAATTTTAGAGAGACACCTTTAATGAAATGTACAAAAATCTCAAAAATTAATGTACGCAAAACAAAATTAGGACGCTATTCTATTTAATTTATGTCTGTTTTGTTGTCATTTTTCACTAAAATTCGGTTTCCATCGTAAATAGTGAGACAATTTTTTTACCTTTGTATTTTTCACATCTATCATCAAAATATTGTCAGTAAATCTAATATTGTTACATGTATATGGGAATTGAAATATCATTATTGAAACAGCACAAGGAGGCTGTTTTAAAAGGGTTAATTAAAACGGAGAGTAATAATTGTTAATTTAGCAGTTTGAAATCTTTAGAATACGTAGGAGACATATTTCTCTACAATTTAATTTACTTAAATCCATACAGTAGTTTTCAAACAGCTTCCAAAAAGTATAACATACTGTTTACGTAAACTTTTAAAATAGTTTTGGCGTTAACACTTTCAGATAGGTCAAAGAACATATTTCTCTGTTGGTGAATATTGTTTACAAATAAGACGGATTGTCCCTTTAAAATGAAAACAATCAATTGCATTTCATTTGATTGGTTGATCCAGTTCAAAGGGGCGTTTAGTTATGAGTTTTTGACAATTGTGTATACATAGAGACCCATTGTTTGAAGTAGATCTCAGAAACACAAACATAATTGACTACATTATACAACATCTTATTAAGATTTACAGACAAATCAAAATTGCGACTTTTCTTTCTGTGGAGGCTTGACTACTTTAGATCAAAAGGCTTCAGACCGACTTGCTTTTTAAGCGTCAGGTTCGCAATTTTGGATTTGAGTCTTCAATATATGTAAATAGTCTTCAGAAGTACCAGAAATGTACGAAAAGTGCAAAAATACCTCATAATAGAAATAGCAATGCCTATTGCTATATATGACTTTTCTAAGACGAGTCGTCTTTTTAGCATTCAAATGTGGATAATTCTGGACAAACATTCTCAAATTTTGACGGTGGGCCGAAAAAAAAATTCCCGCTAAGGTACTATTCTTGAAACGGATGGCAAACCACTGTTCTACGAAGATTTCTTTCATAGGCTATCTAGAAGTATTCATTTGCATATAATTATACACACACGTTGTTTAAAACAAAACAGAGTAATGCACCATAAAAATTTTATGATTTTGTACAAAATCGGTGCAGCCTAATTTATGGATTGGGATAATAAAACCGAACAAAAGATTCGTTGTTTCTTTAATTCTGTAAAAGAACGGTCTGTGACATTAATAAGACATAATGCAAGTTTTAAATATGTAATTTTTGATGCTGATATAGCCTCAAGCGAGGATATAATCACATATTTGGAAATGTTAATGTCAGATTGAAAATGACACCAACTTAATCTTAACGACATTTTCTTATTGTGTTGCATCTGCATTTGAGATTTTTATTTTATTTTGTAGCATATTGTGTTCTTCAAGTATAACTGTCTCTAATACTATGACCTAAACTTGTTTTCCTTTGGATGGTTCATCTTAACCTTTAGGAATCTCACTAGTGGTGTCAAGGTATGGTCGTTTTGTCGTATTTTTAACCACAGACGCTGACAATGAATTATGGTGCAAATATAAACTATAAGCTTTCCAAATACACATTTTAGAGGCTAGTAGAAAGATAGCTCGCCAGTCAAGGTAACATACGCCCACTGACAGCTGTCGGAAATGATGATACAGTGATCGAAAAATCTTCAAATTCGAACTTATCTAAGATCTCATCAATATAGATGATCACATTGCGACGGCAATATACGTCCACATTCGACTGTGCTCGACTGTGTTTCCACAACCATGATAAAGTGATCACAACCATGATAATGTTTCCACGACTATGATAAGGTTTCTACAACCATGATAAAGTTTCTACAACCATGGTGATGTTTCCGCGATTATGATAATGTATTCACAACCATGATAATGTTTCCACGACCATGATAATGTTTCTATAACCATGATAATGTTTCCACTACTATGACAAGGTTTCTATGACCATGATAATGTTTCCACGACTATGATAATGTTTTACAACCATGATAATGTTTCCACGACTATGACAAGGTTTCTATGACTATGATAATGTTTCCACGACTATGATAATGTTTTCACAACCATGATAATGTTTCCACGACTATGACAAGGTTTCTATGACCATGGTAATGTTTCCACGACTATGATAATGTTTCCACAACCATGATAATGTTTCCACGACTACGGTAATGTTTTACAACCATGATAATGTTTCCACGACTATGACAAGGTTTCTATGACCATGATAATGTTTCCACGGCTATGATAATGTTTTCACAACCATGATAATGTTTCCACGACTATGACAAGGTTTCTATGACCATGGTAATGTTTCCACGACTATGATAATGTTTCCACAACCATGATAATGTTTCCACAACCATGATAATGTTTCCACAACCATGATAATGTTTCCATG